ACAAAAAAAATGGGTGAGGTCGATTTTAAGCCGGAATCCGTACAGGATTTTTTTCTTGGCAACCTTTTCAAAATATGTTTCTCTCTTTCTCACCCTTTTCAATCGAACGCATTGTTATATTCAAATCAAAGGATCATTGTTCGCGTTTATTGTTCAAATAAATAGATTGAACTTTGTCAACTTTGTCTTCCTTCCCCATCCGTTTCGTCAAAATATGGGCACTTTTTTTCAATAAATATGGGCAACATAAAATTTAACAACAAACATTTCTATCCCATTTTTTTTACAAAGAAATATTGAAATCGCTTGAGATATTCGAAATATTTGTACTTCCGTTGATTTAATTTGATTTGTTGTGTTGGTTCACATTCGACACAAACACACACACACACACACACACACGCGCTTGCACGCATTGCGTGTCTGGACAATTTCCTCCATTTTCCATTTTCCATTCTCCCTCAAACAATACAATCGAAGTCATAACATATTTATAAATTGATTCGATATTCACGTCTGAAGTTGGAAAAATACTCGGAATTGCACGAGAATTTCAGTTCGTTATTTATTTCTTTGTATTGACTTCGAATTTCTTAGTCGTTGTTGCTAAATTGTTTTGAAGAAAAAAAAAACACGAAACGAAACGAAATGTGGTACAATTATATTGCTTTGAGCACATTAAACATTTGCACAAGAGTGCCAGTATCGAGTGAAACAGTTAACAATTCAATGAAAACGTCCTCTGGCAGACAAATGAACTTGAAACTTGCGTTTCCTTTGTTCTCTGTTGTTTCATTATAAATTAAAAGAAATTCTCGTCAAATTAAGTAAATGGAGAGCACAACAAACTAATTTAGACATTTTAAATGAAGTTCGGTCAATAAGACCGTGCTTTTAATTTTGATTTATCCAAGAATAGAAAAAATCAAACAAAAGCAAAAGCAACAAAGTTAGTTTCAAGTTTTAAAATGTTAATGAAATGAAAAAAAAAAACGTTGACTGAATAGGAAGAGGCTGAGAAAGTGAAAGACAGCACGAATGATAAAATATGCATAAAGTCACAATTTTATTTGCATTTAATTGAAGTACATCTAAGGTTGCATATTTCATTTATTCCTTTCTGCTAATCATTATCATTGATTGATTTCAAAAACCATTCTTATTTAAGCTGCATAATTTTCCATTCTTTGCATCAATTTGTTCCATTTGAATGGGCTTAATGAGTCAAAATGTACACTCTACATCCACAATTATTATCTCTGCAGAGAATGTGAGACGATCGAATCTTGGAAATGCAAGAAAGTTATGCGCTTTTGAAAAACTATTGATTGCATTAAAAATTTTATTGGTCGTTTGATGACGATCGAATACCAAACGTTAACATCAATTTTATGTGCATTTGTGTTGTTTCGGTATATGAATGTCCCCTGAAGCCATTCTCAATTTTCCAATTTTTCTCGATTGCAAACACCAATCGTTTTTGTGCCAAAAATTTTGCAAGAAGAATTTTAACAACAGTTGCATCAAGTAGCAACATAGCCAAAACTTTTCAGTTTCTTTTCACATATTCCGGACGAAAAAAACAAAAACAACAACAATAACCAAAATTCATGTTTTGACCATTTCACACTTTGTACTAGAGCAATTTTATTTTTATTGTGGCAGCTGCATTTCAGTCGCTAAGCGATCCACACAGATTCTCATCGTCAACATAACCATTCACAAATGGAACAAAAAGCTTCTTATTCGATATTGGAATGGATCCATAGACCAACAAGCTCACACATAATGTACAAATAGGGTGAAGCTTATATCCCTTTCGATATCTACCATTCTTCCTCTCGCTCTCCCTCTCACACACAAACAATTTTTTCCATCTCTTTTTTCACATCGACTTGAGTTCTACGTATGTTTTACTCTGTCTTCCACACCCCCAAAAAAAAAATTCCTATGGCACCAAAATATGGCAGCAAAATCTTCCAATGGCGATTCGAAAAATGGCAGTGCCATGACCTGTGCTCGTTTGTTTCGGTTTGGGAAAATATCGAAAACATTTTAACACAACGCGAAATTTGTTTCTTGTTATTTGTTTATTTAGTTTTGGAAAATGAAAAGATCTGATTTTTTCGGTCTTTCGATGTGCACCGTTGATGACAGCATCATGTTGACGATTGGCATGTTTTGAGTGTTTGGAAAAAGTTTACTAATGAGTTTTTATGATGATTGATCCGAAGAAAAAAAAATTCTCTTAACTTCCAATCTTTTCCTTTTTTTGTGCATTTCTTTCTCACTTTGTCGAATGGCGCGTGTGAGCTCTTCAGTTTTATCCCACTGTTTTTCGCTTTATGTCCATTTTATTCAGTTTTCCGTCGATAGAGTACGATAGTTTGGTCTCGATGCAATCGAAATAAAATTGTTAACAAACTCTCGACAGACATGCAATAATAATCGAACGAAAAGGAAGAAAAAACCCGATGGAACATTTTATGTTTGATTTCGACGTAATATTTTTCATTTTTATTTTGATCCAACTCATTGTTAATCCAAATTGAAGACGAAACTTTTGCAAAACAACCTGCGCATTACACATAGACCATACAAACTTTTTCGACATAGTCGAGCGTCTATTAAAAATTTGCTCCAATTTTATAATTGCTGGCAAGCAACCGTTGACTTGGATTTTGGGTTGAAAAGAAATGAAAAGAAGAACAACAAAAAAAGTGGAACGCAACAAAAAAAGGAGCGAAAGAGAAGTATTTGAAAGAATTCCATGAGTTTTTTATTGAAAACGGAAGCTAGCAATATAAAAACAATGTGTGTGTGCATGTGGATGTGTTAAAGAAATCGGTTTTTGTGATTCATTTTGAATAAATGAAGTGACTTGGTTAATTCGGTTTGCTGGCAGCATACAATATAAAATCATTCATTGCAAATGAATTGCAAACAAAATAAAAAAAAGCGTACATGCCGATAATATCAGCTCTGAATGTGCTATCATTTTCGAGCATATGTCACAAATGATAATGAATAGCTTGTACATTTCATATTGGAATACAATCTGAATGAATTTTGTAAGCGAGCACGAGATCACATCGCTCTCTCTCTATACCTCTCTCTCACTCGGTGTGTGTCGTGCCCACACGCATACAATCTATGCATATGTTTTACATACAAATATACATGCCCCATAATTTCCAATGTGCAAAACATTGTGCACAAATACATTCACTAACAAACCAAAATGCACTTTAATGCATATATACTTTTGTTTGGTATATTATACGATTATTGAGCAACTAACGGGACGCATTCATATTAACTTTTATTATAAACGTTAACACAAACAGAAAATACACACACTGATGTGAACGACAGAGACTTGCATATCGAAGCGAAACCACATTACGTATATTTGCAAAACCAAAAGACTGTACAGCGTACACACACATATGTGGGCTCATTATCGGCACAACGTATGCTCAATGCATACTGCAATAGCGTCATTTAAAGACGAAACAATGAAATCTATTGAAACAAAAATTTGTGGAGCGTCGCAGTTTCTTTTGCAATGCAAAAAAAAATTGGTTCTTTGTTAGTCCAACATTGAGCCCCTAAACGACGCATCTAAGAATAAAAAGAGAATTTTTAATGAGCAGAAACGACGCAACGCAGAAGATGAAACCAAAATGAACGAAGTAGCAAATCGTTTCGATGGCAAAATAGCTTCAATTTTGTCGCAAATGTGTTTTTCATATAGATTTGTTATTGTAATTTTTACAAAAAATCTCTATGAATAAAAAAAACAACAACAACGGACTATTTGCAACAAAATAAGAGCTATTTTCCGTTGACACGGTTCATATGGTATAATTTTGAATTGAAAATAAGCAAGAGTGAAAAATGTATACATTGAATGAATAATAAATAGCACATCTCAAAGATTTAGAAAACAAAAAAAATCGAATAAATATGCTAATCGCTAATACATAGCTATTCCATATGACAAATGGGCCTATCAATGAGTACATGTGATGGGTATGACTCTCTATCAATAATTATACATGAGCAATGAGAAATTATGCACTTCATCGTGCTTAAAATATTAACACACACACATTAAAATTATTGTGTTATGTGATTTTCAATTTGAATAAATTTCGCTCGACTTTTTTTGCCGTTTAATAAATTGGAAATGGCAATTATTTGAAGAGGTAGAAACCAAGTCATATTTATTCTGTTCATTTTATTCATCCGATGGAAGTGAATGTGGAGACTGGGGATAAAATGTGAGAATTGTATTGTCGATTATCGATTCGAAATATGATACGTATGTGTGTTATTCGGTGTATAATAATGATGATGTTTTTGCAATCGATTCAATACTAAACAAAAACTGGAAATCAAATCGAAGTATCAATAAAAGGAGTCGCAATTCATTTTAGCATTTCCAAAATTATTCATATTGATTCAGTTATGAATATGAGCTATTAAATTTTAATGTGGATAAATGGAACTCAATAGTCGATGGCTGAGCATTTTTTTTTTTCGTCTACGAAACATGTTTGTGTTCTTTTTAAAGAACGCAAAAATATCTATTGATTTATTCTTTTTGTTAATGTTTATATACCGAAAAAAGTCCTTGAGACGGAATTGTGGGCGTTTGAAGTTGAACTTTGAAGAGCTTCTTTAAAATTGAATCAAACGTATAATTAGTAATTTTTTTTATCAATTTTTAATTGAAAGACGAAGAATTAAATTTGATTCAAGTATAAAATCTCGCTCTCTCTCCAGATGATTGTTCGGAGTAGCTTAGTGTATAATTCAAAAGGACAGTGTTTGAGTGTGTGCGTGCCACAAAATAAAAAGACAGACCACACGCATACAAGACAGAAGAGAAGGTGGCCAGCGAAGCAAATAAAAAAAGATGAAAAGACAGAAATATAGAGAGACCGACACGAACTTCTATCAAATAATGTGACTATTATACATCGGCTACTTACCGTTTTCCTTTAAATGCCAACAGGTACTTTTTGTTTGTTGGAAAATTGTTGCTGACAGCGAAGCCCGTGTTGCCGGCACGCAACGGATGCTGCTTATGAAATAATGGAATACTGATATCGAAACCAGGTCGAATTTGTCGTACGCTCATGCTGGCTTTGGCCAATATGGCTTCGCCCGTATCAAAACCGAGGCTATTTTCCGCATAATCAGGCCATGTACCCGAATACAAATTGAAAATGACATGATTTCGACCGTTATTCCAATAGGGTAAACGTTGTAAACGTGATGGCACATTTCGTACATAATCCTCACTAAGCGAATCACGATCAAGCGTATCGATTCCAAGCACAAATAAACATGCACGCTCCGGATCGGCCGTATAATATCGACTTTCGGTAATCGCTGACAAAATTTTCCGATAATTTAAACTAATCGGTGGTGTATTGCCTAGTGGATTGATCGTATCCGGTGGATAAACATAAACTAAAAGTTGTTGATTTACATCGCTGCATTTTGTGTAATCGAAGCATGTTTCCATGCGGCATGGTTTGGTGCGTCGACGATGTTGTTGGTGTTGTTGTTCATCAAATGTTTTGGCCAAACCATCAACATTGTTTCCGGCATCAGCCGCATTTGCAATGGCTGGCAATTCAACGACTGGCACTTGTACTTTTGGCTCATCATTTGTTTTCGGTGGTAATGGTTGTGCTGGCGGTGGTACATTTTGGTTATTTGATATTGGTTGCAAGGCCACATCCACCTCTTCCTTTTCAACTGCAAAACAATTAATTTGCACACAAATAAATATGGGACACAATTGTATATGGCATCGATTCTATATCTATTTTTCTATCTAACTATATTTGAATCTATTAGACATCGGTCTAGTGTGGGCAATTGGATTGGCTCCAAATTGACTACACATACCGACCTATCTGTACTTATTTTTTTTTTAAGTTTCGATTGCATGCGAACCAATATGTAGCATGGCACAAATTGTATTATCGATTTTGGCATACCTTTTAATTTGGCATTTGTTTGCACAGTTGCGGATGATAATTGAGATCCTTGACGAAATGCATCGTCATTACTGTTCATATGACTGTGGTGTGTATTTGCTGTTCCTTTGCTTTTTTCATATTTGTTGGAATTGGTGTTGAAATCATCATCATTCATGCCATTGCATTCAATTGTGGATAGAAATGATGGAAGATTCGGCGGCACGACGATATTTTCATAGCGACGTATGTTAATATTACTTTTGATGCCGCCACTGCCGCTGCCATTTGGTGAAAATGTAATGCGTGACCTTTTAAGACGATAGCCACCAAAATAACAGTATGCAAGAAATGCACACGATATAAATACTAAAATATAACGCTTTTTCGCTTGCATGTTAACACATTCTCCTCGTGCACATTTTTGATTAATGGATTTGTGTGGTGATTTTAACAGTTTTTCCAGATATTATACGAACATTCACTTGCTCTCTCGCATTCAGATACGACTGCTGCTGGCCGCTTTTAATCTCTTCTTTTGTTATAATAACTTATTCGCTTCAATTTGTTATTCACTGTGGCATTTATTCGTGTATGATTGATACTGAACTTTGCTTTCAGGTCTAAATGTTCATTAGAAATTTAAGACGATTTTAAGTAATTTGTGATAGTTTTGAATTATTACACCTGTGAACGTGTTCTTCACACACACAAAAAACCACGTTGATTTATAATTGTTGGCATTTCTTTTGCAAACATTCGTATGTCGAGTGTTTAAACAACTCGATCTTGTTCATTAGCTATAGATCTTGGTTTTACGACATTTCTCGGTTATTAAACACGAATCGGTATGCTATTCGGAAAATGTAAATTTGTGAGAAAAATGAAGAAATTGAAAATTCATCTGTTCGACTTCTAACATACAACAACATTTTCATCGTATGAGATGTTTTTTTTGTCTAACATACTATGCAGGTAGAATTTTTTTTGGGGTTCTTTTTATTTATGCGAACATACATAATGAATAAATAATTCTTTTTGTTATGTGGTTTGAACAAAAGACGCCGGAATATGCATTGCATTTTCAATGGTTTTGTTTTGTGTTGGTTGTATTCACTCTAATTTATCCGGCTGGACACTTGAGAAAAAGTTTCACTCTTGGTATGCATACATATTCAACAGAATATATACCGTGTCACTGTGTTCTCTGTTTTCATTAGAAACTTCAAATGAAACCAACAACAATAACAATGCCATTGAACAAATGAACATTGAATCAAATCAAAATTGAATACATTCAACTGTAATCTGTGCGGTTTTTGTTCTACTTCTTCCAACTTTCTCACTAATTTACACGTCCCCCCCTCGATTGCTTACCGCATTTTAGTTTTGCTCTCATTTAAATGGTATGAAACAGATGGGCCAAACCGAATGGCACAAATAACGTTCTATTCCTTGTTTTCGATATAATTTGTATCGATCATCTGTACAATCATTAATTGCTTAAGTACTTTCTGTTGTTGCAATTTTTGTTTGCATGGAGTTTGTATTAGTTTGTTTTGTATCAATTATCAAAGAGAACTTTGCTATTTCAGCAAAATACAGTGTCGATTCGTGATGTTGGAATGCAGTTGTTAAGTAAATGTTTTTGAATTGTGTTTACGTTCTTTTTTCATTTCAATTTTCCCACGCACACTCCGGGAGGTAATAATTAAACAGTTATGATAGCAAGAATATTTGTATAGTGACGAATGTGGCAATATATCGGAAAGTTAGATAGAGATTTAATGCCAGAAGTAAAACTCAAAAATACAGCACATCTGTTTCGGATGTGTGCGGGTATGTGTTCTTTTTATAAAATGCAAAATGAACGAGTAGAATGAAGAAGAAAAAGAACCAAACTGAACTTCGACACTTCGATTGCGTGTGCATTCACAGTGTCACATTATCACTAACAATTTGAATATTATCAACGGTGACACCTCGTAAATCTTTTTCTCACACTTTCAATTCGGTTAACATTTGGCATTTGTTTGCTACGAAGCCGATTCGACAGTCAAATTGGAAATGTTGAACGCGCGCGAAATCTTGATTATCAATCGTTTTTGTTTGAATTGTGTTATTTGATTGTTTTTCAATTTTCTCTTTAGAGTATTGACCTTTTCTCGATGAAACAAATAAAAAAAAACCCGAATAAATCACATAACACCGGATATTAGTTTAGTTGTTTGTTTGTTGTGCTATAGCTTGAATTTGACAGGAGTGTAGAATGTTCACAATTGAAATGCCAACTATTTACCACTCTAATTACAAATGTAATGGTATGAATTCAACGTCGTGAGTTCTCCTGTCAAGTGCGTGCATTTTTTACTTCATTTGCCCTTGGCTCAATTTTCAAAGATTCGTTCGACCGTTTCGTTTTTTTTGGTAATTGTTTTATTTATTTTTCTATCGTTGCCGAACCGACCGAAAATCTAATATGCAATTAAATAATTATTGTACATCGGCAAATGCCGAACGGCCACACAAAATTGATTCTTTTGACCGAAATGATTATAACACAAATATAGTACACATTTTAAATTCCATTATCACTTTTCACAATCAATCTGTTCGGAATTTGGCCGCACAATTTTCATTTTATTTTTATAAAATTGCAAAAACTGTTTTCAATTTAATCACAACACAGTAAACAACACACGTACACATTCTATTTAAAACGCACACACTTCATTTGTGAAGTAAATAACTTAATTTTATTTTATTATTGATGAATTTGTTATTGTTTAGTTATGATTGTTTATCGTTTATTCACTTGCACTGGAATTGGGTACGGTGTGTTTGTTTGTCATTTTTGGTGTATTTTTTGTGTGTTTGGATTAAATCGAAACATTCGATGGCAATAGTTTTGTGATAAACTCCTCCGATGGCAGTAATGGTCTGGTGATGTCTAAAAGGCAATTGGTACGTGAACACACAAAACATTGGAGAGAAATGTCTTGGTTTTCCTTTCAATGTTATTTCTAATTTACACTATGTGTATATTGTCTAGGGTTTTTGGTGCGCAAACGCCAAACACAACACCTCTTTGTCTATCGTTTGCATGTGAATTATGCTTCCTGTCTCTGCTTTGCACACAGACACCAATTGATATCTCAATGAGCCAGAGCTGTTTTTGTCTGTTATCCCTGACTTTGACAGTTCTATATGCTTCTCATCTCTATCACACATTGACATTCTTTCTCCCTCTATCTCGACACCGTATATATAGGTGTATAACACAAACAATGTGCGGGTGCATGTTCTGTCTGCCAAACTGACATTTCTCTTTGCTTGTGTGCGCTATATTTCAATTCAAAACAATCAACATCGCATTCGTATGTGTGCGTGACGTGGAGAGAATTCACTCAAACTTACGATCAGTTTGAAGGGGACACTTTTTTTTCTTTTTCTTTTCCAAGAAAGTACCAACAAAAAAAAATGCTTCATATTATTTTGCGAATCATATTGGATTTTCTGAATATTTTTTAAATGAAGAAAAATTATTCAAATTCAAACCGAAGAAGGACGAATTTAACATTCGAGCGTTAAGAAATTTACTGGCATTTTCTGTGTGTACATTTGTGTAGAAATTCAATTAATTATTCTTCAAAATCTATTGTCATTGGACATTATTTCCATGCAAAAAGAAAATAATGTTTCTATAAAAAAAGTGCCTTTTTCAATCATTTTTTCGATATCATATTTTATTTTCAACAAATATTTTCAATCATATAATTTATCCATGGCATTTGTAAAGTAATTCAAATAAAAATTATGATTTAAAAAAACATATTCGCCTTTTTTATTTCCACCAAAGGAATAAGCGCACAATAGATACCCGGCTTCTCGTATAAATCATGCTTATCGCACACGATGCTGCATAACCGATGCATCAAACTCAACGAAACGCTATGAATGTATTAAAAATGACGACGAGTGTAGAAGAAGATGACAAAGAAGAAGAAGTTACGTCTATGTCATCGCGGCAGCACTGTTGCCCATCATTAGGATGACATTTGGCTTCGATATTTTCGGAGCAATAAACACAAAACCGAATGTCTTCACAAAATCATTCAAAAGAATATAAATAAATAAACCTCACGCGAAAATCCATCCAATTAATGTTTGTTTTTGTTAATCAGTGTAAAAAATTGAATTGAAAAAAAAAATTCTCAATACCTTATGTAATTTGTTAGTATTTGATAAAAATCCAAAGTTAATTTTCTAGTAATTGTAAACGGATAACCATTTTTTTTTTGACGAATCGAAAATTGAATAGATATATAAACCAATCGGCAATAATATGGCACAAAATCGAACTGAAATTTTGGCGGTGCTACAATTATTGAAAAAATACAATTTTAAGGTTTGTGTGCGGATGGAGAGAATGCCGGAGCAGTTACAAGTGTGGTAACAAAAATGTATGTGTATGTGTTCTTTGTTTACAGAATGCCGAAGAGCAATTGCGAAAGGATGCAAACCTAACCGATATTCCGGACAATGTGCCGGTCGATTCCGATGTGAGTAGCGTTCTAGCTGCATACAAAAGTGAAGGCGATCCAGATTTATATGAATATGCCTACATGGAACTGAGGCGTTTCGTTGACGAATCACTGGATATCTACAAAGTAAATGATCTGTCATTTTGTTTTTTGTTTATTCAAATGAATTCGACCCGGATAATAACGAATTCGTATTTTTATTTCAGCATGAATTAGCAATGATATTGTATCCGGTATTCGTGCATATGTATCTGGAGCTAGTGTACAATGATCATGAAGAGCAGGCGAAGAAATTAATTGAAAAATTTGGCGCCGAACAAGAGCATTATTATCATGAGGATATTACACGATTGGCAACAGTCACCAAACGTGATCAAATGAGTGGCAACGATTTGGCCGAAACATTTAAATCCAATGAGTTCATTATTCGTATTTCACGTGATACATTATCACTGTTAAAACGACATTTACAAGAGAAAAAACAATCGGTCATTATGAATATTGTGAATGAGCATTTATACTTTGATTTGTATGAGGGCGTTGCACGAAATAAGGTGCAATGTGAGGCGACGGCCGGTGCAATGACCGGCGAAGCAAAACGACAAGATAATAAGGTGAAAGTGTATTATGGTTTATTGAAAGAGCCTGATATGCAAACATTGGCACAACCACAAGAGGAAGACGACGATTTAGATCCAGATGCACCAGACAAACCAAAGAAAAAGAAATCAAAAAAAGATCCATTATTTTCGAAAAAATCCAAATCGGATCCGAATGCACCGCCAATCGATCGAATGCCATTGCCCGAGTTGCGTGACATTGATAAACAAGAGAAAGTGCGTGCAATGCGCGAAGCAATGAAACGTGTTCCACTCGGACCGGATAGTTTGCCGTCGGTATGCTTTTACACAATTTTAAATTCATCGAATAGCGTAACATGTGCCGAAATATGCGATGATACCAGTTTGGTTGCAATTGGTTTTTCCGATTCAATGCTACGCGTTTGGTCACTAACGCCGAGTAAATTACGCGAAATGAAACCGGCCGATCAATTAAAAGAAGTTGACAAAGATGCTGGTACGTACAAATGTAGATTAAATAAAAAAAAAACCTAATAATTTTTTCTTCTTTTGTTTGCTTTCAGATGATGTGCTAGTTCGAATGATGGATGATCGAACAGCCGAATCAAGTAGAACGTTACTCGGTCACAATGGACCCGTGTATCGTGCAGCATTTTCAAATGATCGCACAATGCTCCTATCGTGTTCAGAAGATACAACGATTCGTTTATGGTCACTTCAAACGTGGACATGTTTAGTTGTGTATAGAGGTCATTTGAATCCTGTGTGGGATATTCGATTTTCACCGCATGGTCATTACTTTGCAACCGCTTCACATGATAAAACAGCACGTTTATGGGCAACCGATTCACATCACCCGCTGCGAATATTTTTAGGTCATTTGTCCGATGTTGATTGTGTCCTTTTCCATCCCAATTCGAACTATATTGCAACCGGTTCGTCGGATCGATCGGTACGATTATGGGATTGTGTATCTGGAAATTTTGTTCGTTTAATGACCGGACACAAAGCACCAATTTATTCGATGGCATTTAGTACATGCGGTCGATTTTTGGCCACCGGTTCGGCCGATTGTCGATGTTTAATTTGGGATCTGGCCTATGGCCATTTGATTGCCGCATTTACCGGACATACAAGCACCGTACATACACTTTGTTTTAGCCGTGATGGTACGATACTTGCCACCGGATCACTTGATTGTACATTACGTTTATGGGACTTTACAAAATTATGCGAAGACATCACCGGCGAAAATGTGAACGTTTCACATAATCCGGATGTTCGAGATGGCGAACAATACTTACTTCGAAGCTTTCCAACCAAATCATCGCCATTCATCGGCTTACATTTTACAAGGAGGAACCTATTGCTTGCGGTTGGACTGTTTTCCAGCGATAGCAATAATCAATCAAAAGATTTGCATTAACATTAAATAAGTAAAACAGACGTATCTTATTTGCAATCATTTGTGTTTTTTTTTTTCTAATTAAAACAAACACCAAAAGATCATTGACATTGGTAACGAACTGAAGTTAAAACAATTATTATTATATTAATTAGGATGAAAAAAAAAAATAATCAAACAAACAAATACTATTGACGCTCTGCTGTTGTGTATAAATCCATAAAAAATACAGCAATCTACGCTTTTTCGAGATTTATGTAGACTTTATTGGAAAAAACGGACAAGTTTGCGAGAATTCATTTTCGTAATACGATTTAGGTAGTGAAATCCTAACAATTTGATTTTTCTGTTTGATTTATTTTCTCTTTTTTTTTGGAATAAAACGATCCATTTTTCAAAGCAGTTAATATATTCACCATTTGTTTTAACTATTCAAAATCAAATTTATTTTACCCAATTTATGTAGCAATGCTACAGTAGCATAATAAATTTGCATGAAATTGTTCAGCAAATGCTGAAATGAAAAGAAGAAGAAAAAAGAACAAAAACTCATTTCATGATGAAGCAAAAATAATTTTTGAAAATCAATGGGGCAATTTCGTCTGAAATGAAATTGCGTTCGGGACGTTGTGATGCATACGCATTTAGTTCAGGTCCATGAACAAGATTCATTTGTTTGCCACCGTTGGCTGACTCGCTTTGGAAACGTTCCAAATCTCGTGGTGATTCGTATTCAGTGTATGATGTTATTACAACTGGACAACCCGAACTCGATGCTATTTTTATGGTCGGCGACCATGTATCGATTCCGTTGAGGCTGTTCACATGATGAAATCCTGGATTGAAAAAACAAACTAAAACGACATCAAGATAAATTGGTTAGATTTTATCATATCATCCGTTTACATATCCACATGAATGCGTAATTCGCAAATGAAATGGCATACTTAAATCCGGCTTCGTGTATGCACTGCTCATGGCATAGTCATGATAAAATTTGGCACATTGAAAATCAAATTTGACGATGCGGCAATTTTGACGACATGTTCGACACATTCTATTCCACAAATAAATCAACGAAAATAAGTACATATACATATTTAAATGGGCCGATTGAACTCTCACCTAATCCGACTTATTATGTCCAATGGTATATTTTCTGCATTCAATTCAGGACCACAAAATACAATTGTTAATTCCATAAGATTATGTGCCAAATGGAGGAAAAAAGTTTCCCAAATATCTAATACATCAGCCTCAAATTGTAATTCGGCGCCTATTAAATGGATCGTAAACTTTTCACCAATTTGTTCCGTTGATATTTGTGTTGCATAATAAGCGGTCAAAGGAGCTGTTGCCAATTGTGTTAGGGTTGCAAATACACATTCATCTTTGATGGCTTTAATATAAATAAAATTTGACATTGAAACATAAAGCAATTACAATGAGTCTACTACTAATGAAGGTCGAAAAGAACTCGGGAAATTGGTAAATTTAAACTCAACATTTCCTTAACTCTTGTCAAATATCTTCGAAATTGACGTAGAATAATATAAACAAACCTGAATAGTTCTTGTACAAATCCTTAAAAACGTCGCTGATCGAATTTGGCAATGAGTACGGTTTAGTTTGTATACGTGATGGTAAATTTGGTTCGATACGACCAGACATGCTTTGGGTCACCACTAATTTTTGATAGAGTGCAACCGATTTGCACCATCGCTGATGCGATTCAATCAAGTGCTCTGGCTGATTGGTGCAATAAAACACCTACGAAAAAGAATTTACCCAAAATGTTATGTTATCTTTCGAGAGAAAAAAAAAATTAATTTAAAGGTATCATTTTCACCTGGCCACAAGTTGGGCAATCGGTTAAAAGATTTTGTCGCCATTCGCGACATGTTGGCGTTAAGCACAAGCGTGGAAAGAGTAAAATTTCGCGTTCATATGTTTGTAAAGGTCGTTTCAAAAAATTCTCACATAAATTCAATGTATGAACACGTAAACTGCGATAATCGTTGTTATTGAGAATACGGGCATTGTTGTAAATGTGACCGCCTGCATAAAGAATTTGGCAAAAGAACGAAAAAAAAAAAATGAAATTGAAATTAATTTAATTAAATAAATCTATTTTCTTCTTTCGAATGTCATCATTTTGTTTAAAAAATCATCACATGAATATTTTGAATGTACCTCGTTTCTTAGCAATTTCCTGAAGTGCGGCACACAGATCTTTGTGAATTGGTTCGTCATTTTTCACGTGTTCGGCACAACAGTATGAGACCATTTGACAAAGTTGGCACAGAACTCGTTCAATTGAAGTCGTTGGTTTCTTACACGATTGGCATATGGTCGAAATGAACACTTGTCGTGGCATAAATTTGTATTCAATGTAATCGTCTTCACTGTCATCGTCTTCATTGTGGCCAGTTAAAACGAGAATTTTTTCATTTTTTGATTCGTCAACTGCATTGGATTTTACACTTGTTTGTGATTTATTTGCCTGGCTGCTAATCAAATTTTCCGGTTTCGGTGGAACAGTCGGTTTTCCATTCGACTTTTTATTGTTTTGTGTGACTTTTCCTTGTGCATTTTTCAAATTTACTTTTGCATTTTGGTTATTATTCGCTTTACTTTTTTCCGGCGACACTGACTTTGACGGCGATTTGGATGTTGATTCCGATTTTATCGCTTCCAGTTTTTTTGGTTCAGTTGGTTTTTGTGAACCATTTTCGGTTTTTTCGCTATTTTTGTTTTGCTTTGCAGTCGATTGTTCTGCTATTTGAACTGAAGCATTTTCAATATTTTCCGTCCTCAAATTCATTGGACTTTTGCTTTTTGACTTGTTTTTGATTTCAATTGGTTGTTCGACTTTCATTTCAATTTTTGGTTCCAGCGATTTTGCTTCGACTGCTGATTGCTCAGCAAACGCTGCAAAATCGCTTCCTTGCACGTTTTTTGAGTCGGCACTTAATTCGGCCACCTCAATTTCACTTGGCATTATGCTAACATCAAGTGGAATTTCTTCAATTGGATCGTTTGCAACAACTGCGACGGCGGCGGTGGCGGCAACAGCAGCACTATCTTCTTTATTTTCTTCGATTGGAGGAGTTTTCTCGGGTGTTTTCTCGGGCGTTTTATCGGGCGTTTTATCGAGCGTTTTATCGGGCGTTTTTTCTGGCGTTGATTGAACCACTTTATTTCCTTTTACATTTTTCGGAGCTGGTTTTGTATCTTTTTTCTTGGGTTCGGCTCCTTTTTTCGGTTGCATATCAATCGTTTTTGTTACATTAGCACTTTTGGTCTGTTGACCATTGTCTTTTGCCTTTGCTGCTTTCGGTTGTGGACTTTGTTGCTTTGTCTTAATTGGTTCTTTTGTTTCGAGCAATTGTACTAACTGTTGTGCCTCTTTTTTTGTTTCTTTCGTTGTACTCACATTGATTGCAATTGCTGTTTCGATAGGTACTGGTTGAATCTTTGACATGGCCGGATCGTCCATTTGTATTTCAACTGGTTCCAAACTTTTGCTCGCTTCTTCAAGTATTTTCCATATTTTTGACGTTTCGTCCTCTTGTTGAAGGGGCTTTTTAGATGTTTCCGGTGCTGGTGTTGTCAAAACTGGGGTTGTTCTTGGTGTTTTTGTAGAATCATCAACGCAAAGTTCCAACTTTTTCAGTTCAGTTTCAGTTTTCGGCTCAACAACAGCTGTTGACGTTGATGCAATTTCTTGGCTTGGATTATTTTCCATGCCTGCTGTTACAACAATATCATCTTTGGCAGCACTTTCATTTGGTTTTTCAACGTGCAACGCAGACTCAATTTCGACTTTTTTTATTTCGGGTTGTGGCAAAGCTTCAATTGGAGCTGCTGTGTCACTTGTAGACTGTTCGACTTCAATTGGCGTGGATTTGATGTCAGATTTATACTCGGGCGGTGCGGTGTTGCCGGAGCTTTCATCTTCAGGCTTCTGATCATTTTGTGGTTTAGTTTGTTGTGGTTTTTTACCTTTGGATTTTTTCGATTCTTTCGGAGAAACCGATTGAGTTGGCTTTGCTTCACTTGGCTGCTGTTTGGTCTTTTCTTTATTTTCTGTTTCACTTTTGATTTCATGTTTTATCTCTGGCTTACTATCTTCTTTCATTTCCTTTTCTTTCTTAATTTTCGGCTCGTTTGCATGCTTTGTTTGATTTACGTCTGCTTTGTTGGTTTCTTGTTTGATTTGCTCTTGCATCTCTGGTTTTGTTCCTTTTGGAATATTTTCAATTTGATTTTTTTCGCATGGCAATGGTATTTGTTGTAGTTTTTCTTCCGTTTTAACTGATTCGCCAGAGATTTTTAGCGATTGATCGACTTTCGTTTGTTCGCTTTGAATTTTAGTCTCATCGATTTTTTCGATTGGAATACATTCACAATCATCGTTTCTTTTTTCTGCTTCATTATCTAATACATTCGGTTCAATTGGCTTTTGCTGAACAACCACTTCGGTGGATTTATTCTCGTTCGTTTGATTCTTTTTATTGGGTTTCGGTGACTTTTTATTTTCTTTCGAATTTTTGCTACTACTTTTAGATTCGGCTTCCATTAAATTATCTTTCTTATCAATTTTATCGTTTTTATCTACCAGCTGGACATTTGCTTCGCCCTTGTTTCCGCCTGTCTTCATTTGGTCTTCTACGACAGGGCTTGGCTTTTGATTTTTATTGGCAGTGTTTTTTGCTTGGCGATTTTTCGTTTGTTTTTCACTATCTTTAGAATCGCATTTTTTCACACTTTCTTCACATTTTTCCAAAGCTACTTCAATCTCTCTGTCATTTTGTTCATTTTCAACTGATTTTAATGTACTGGCAATCATTTTCTCGTCATTTTTCTTCTTTGCTGGTTCATCAATTTTTACGTCTGACTTTTCACTTTCGATTAATTTTAAAATATTTTCATCGATTTTTTTGTCGGACTTGATTTCAGGTATTTTTGAAATGTCAACGATTCCAATAGGTTCAGGTGGAGCAGATGTTTCGACATTGGTTTCTGATGCGCATACAAGATCAAGTTTATCAGGTTTGGCATCTTTACATTCGATTTGTTTCGGTTCCTCCTTAATTTCCGAAGTAATGACTTCACTTATTGATAAAATCGTGGCGCTTAATGATGCTGGTGCTGGGCTATTTTCATGTGTACTATTTTCATTTGTTCCCGATGTACTGCTCACACCACTCTCCGTATCCGTTGCACCTTGATGGTTTTTGTTTCGATTTCGATTACGGTTCCGATTTCGTTTCTTCTTCATCGTTTGCGACTCAAATGGTTCTTCACTTTTTTCTTCGTTAATAGCAATAGGAGTATGTTGGTCGACATCTGGTTTCTTGGCATGCGATTCATCTGATTTTGTTTGAACAATGCTTGCTTTAATCGTATCAACACTTTGTTGTAATTGATCCAGTTTCTCCTTTGCTTCGGTAATGGTGCATTTCAAATCGGTTTCTTGTGGTGTCACATTGGTAGGACCCGAATCTTCGTTAATTTTAACACTTGCTTCATTTTTCGTTGTTGCTGTTGTTGTTGCGCTTGCACCACTTGTTGGTTGTGCTCGATTTCTGTTTTTCTTATTTCGTGATGGCATTGTAAATTTAAGAAAACACAAGCAAACGAGTGTACGGTTGCTTTCTCTTTCTTTTTCTCAACTAATTTAAAGTTTGCTAAAAGCGGCGAATAGAATAGTGTGAAGAAAAGATTGAATTAGTTTTCATGTAATAAAACTCATTAAAAATAGATTGGTTCTTGTAGTTTTGTATCAAATTCGTTAAAATCGAACACAAGTTCATGAACAACAAACGGCATTACTCAAGTTATTTCATCTTTTCCACACAATTTTCTAGCCAACGACAAAACCAGTGTCGAGCGTTGTATATATTATAAATAGTCTTTATTTAATTGTAGCAACTTTTTTTCTATATCACAATATATGCAATACATATTTTGTATATGTCAATACACATTTAAATGTTTTATATAATTGTTTGCATGGCTTAAGAGACGGTATTGAGTTCTCGCGTCACATAGACCCAAAAAAACATAAATAAACTTGTTATACATTTGTTTATATTTTTGTTTTGTTTTTCTTTTTTTGCTATTTTTTAGAGTAAAAAATAGAATTAGATGATTTCTGAGCGAGGCCCGACTTTCATCGTTTTTTTTATAAATAGTCAAGAGTTGAACATTATAAGAAACGAATGCCAATTCAATGCATTTATCGCATGATGTTAGCAATAAACTTGAAATTAGGCGAAATTCCAATTCAGTAAATCAACCGAATTTCGGGTGCGATTTTGATGAGATCTTAAGAAGGTCTAAATCTATTTCACAAACGACAAAAAAAAACATTGAAAAGGTGTACAGCAATTACTGCTAAATTGCTCACAATATGTTTTTGCAAAAAAAAAAAAAAGATGAATAACTGTCATATTATGTTATGTGCATGGAACGATGTCAAAAATAATTTACCAACCGTTTTTTGTTTGTTAAGGTCTTTCTTTATTGAGTGATATCAGATCACATAATTAGTTGAATTTGTGGAACTATCAATTGATTTTTGAATTTGTTTAAGTTTTTGCAACGTATAAAAACAAATATTTTGGTTAACGATCACTTCGACGCCACGATCACTCGATAACTGCGATGATATCTTGAAAAGCAATGCTAACGACAGTCGAAAAATATATGTTTGCCCGTTAAAAACGAACAATGTGGCATGTATAAAAGCGACAACGATTCAAAAATTCAGCGCATGCAGTGCATACACAGACATTTCGGAATAAAAGATCGCGTCGAATATTTTCTTAGAAGAAAATGCTCAAAATAATTTCGTTTCGCTGTTTGTTGGTTCAACAATCGAGACATTGTTTTGTTTTGTTTGGTTTTTATTTTGATTTTTTTTTTGTTTTGCATTTGCATAAACGTATTTAATTTCAACTTAAAAGAGGCAACAGCATATAAAGCCCATGTAATTTATAGCATGATTCACTTGTGATGTGCATTTAATTTGCAATTGTCTCTTGCTCTCTCGCTCTTTGCTTACACAGTCGGTTTCAATGCTTCTGCTTTTTTGGCGATTTGTCAAAATAATCTGAAAGCCATCCATCAAGTTAACTTATAAAAAGACCGCAAAAATAACACACAGACAGTTTTAGTTTGATTTTGAATATTTGTTTTTATTGAATTTTAAACGAAACGAACAACAATTTTATCATCTCAATTGTAACAAATGTTACAATGTGAAAATGGTTCATGAACTTTTAGCATTTAAAATGGTTTGTTCGCTGCCCCTCTCTCTTACTCAATCAATTGCTTACTTTGTTTCGGTTTTGAAGAACCGAAATGAAATAAAACCATCTCCGGCGATGAGTTTTCCCTATTTGCGATTTTCTTAACTCGTTAAACTTCTAAATTTATGCCAATTGCGTACATTTTACATTTGTTCCGTTCGTTCTGGCTCTATGTTAGTAAATGATGCTCTGCCTATAAAAATAAGTATTTTTCTGAGTTTTATTCTTATATCGCGCAATACTTAAATGTTGGTAATATATGCTCGTGTGTACTTTCACAATGAGTTACATGTTGGTGATTATCTAATTGGACCGAATCTAAATAGTCAATATAATTGTCGTAAACCGATTTTACAGGAAACATTTTCGATGACATTTAAATGTAGTGTTGTGTACGTAATCAATGCGTTCGTCATCGTGCAGTTTTAAAGCTCTTTTTGTGCCGCAGTGTACACTGAATTTTCTCTATTCTCAGCACGAAACTTCAGCATTTGAAATGTGAGAATCGGAAATAGACTTCCCCATTATTATTTGGTCATACATGCGTGCCTTTCTCCTGTAATTCCAATCATTTCGAATGCTCTTTCATACGGTAGAGTGGCTCCCAAAGTGAAAAGAACACATTGAAAATTGATTTTAATCGTTGATGAATTCTATTTTTGAAATGTTTTGTTTAAGATTTTTAGTATTTTGTTGTCATGGTTTAATTAGAAATAATTATGATTTCATCGAAAGAAAACAAAATGCATTTTCGATCGAATTTTGAGTTTGAGTTATTTGTCATTTTCTTGCTCAGATGGTATACGGAAAAAAATATGCCAACAAATAACCGAAAAAACGCTCTGATTTTATTAAATGCGGGCCTTAGAGTTTTGTTATATCGGAATCAGTGCCACCATTGATGCCACCGTCTATGGCTATTGGAAAATGGCAATTAGTACAAATTATTGTTTGCTGCTTATGGCTTATGCCATTTGTGTCGTTCGTCATCGAAATCTTTGAATGTTTATTTGCTCCAGTCGATTGCACCGATTGGCGCCTATTTTTAACAAATAACTTAGCAATATCATCTAAATCACGTCCTTTGGTTTCAGGTACAACGAAAATCACGAAAATTAAAGCCAACGCACAAAACACTGAATACATGTAAAATGTTCCGGCCGTTGTGATTACCTACATTTTCAAATGAAGAAGAATAGAAATGATGTAATATTTAAAATTGCAATATTTTTGAAAATTGTGATTTTCAAAATATACAAACCGCTTCTAAATAGTGATACGTTTTAATAACGATGAACATAACACCTAAATTAAAGGATCCAGCGATTGAACTCAATACACTACGTTGTTCGGCTGGGAATAGTTCGCCAAGCAATAAGAATGGTATACAACCGAAACCAACCGAAAATCCAATCATGTAAATCATCAAACTTGTCAATGGCAACCAGCTTCAATCAGAATGGAACGATTTAATTTTATTTTATTTTCTTCGCAATTCGGAAGAATTAAGTTTCTTAATTTCAACTTACCCGAACGACGCACTACCTTGTTGCTTTAAATAGAAAGCCGTGCCCATTCCAGACATCGAAATGCACATGATCACGGCAGAAATCATTAGAAGTGGCTTTCGACCTGACCTATCGACCACAAACAATGCAACAATGTTGCTGACCAGTTGCACAAACCCAACCAATATCGTTGCCAAATGCTCATTTATGGTACTGCCTGTTGCAAAAGTGCAAGTGTCAAATATAATAAAATTTAATGAATTGATTTCTACAAATTATATTTCACATAAACATGTCTCATTTTTTTAAATTTTAAAATATGCATTCAACAGTAGAAATGAAACAACTTTCTATTATATACTACGTCCGTAATCAATGTCAAATAGTTGAAAATATAACTATGTCCATATGGATGTTTAGCAAAAGTTCGACATTAGTATTTAGATAATTTTATAATTTGAAAAATATGTAGAATGGTTTGGAGTTCAATAAGCGAAAAACCATAGAGTATACTATGTGAAAAGATATTTGAATTTTTGCTAAACAGCCGAACGAATGTATTTGTATCTAAGGATCGAAAAATGGATCGGTTTTTTTTTTCTTCATTTATAGGCGGGTAGAATTTTTGGAAAAAAAACTTCATTACCTGATTCACGGAATATTTCTACCGTAAAGAATATAATCGAGTCAATGCCACTTATTTGTTGTAAAACCAGCAACGACAGTCCGATACATAAAGGCATTAGTATTGGCCGTGTGAGATAAATGGATTTTTTCGATGCTTTTTCATGGTCGTTTGCCATTTGCGTCATTTCCATATCGGTTTTTTCATCAACTGTTGGAATGTGTGGCGGTGGCAATTTCAACCAATCAGCCGATCGTTCAGCTTCCTTAATGCGATTTTTGCTTTAATGTTATTAAATAATTACAGAAAACGTTATTAAATAAAATATATTTTCATAAAAAGACTTGTAATTTTTCCATACCTGCGCAGCCAAACAGGACTCTCCGGCATGAATAATAAAATACACCCGAATACAACTGGAAATTTATATAAACTTAAATTCACAATTTACAAAAAAATATATGCATGAACGTGGCATAAAGATCTAGGGGAAATGATCTAGTTGCGTTGCAACTGTTGCCAGTGGACAAAGTTTATTGAAGTTGTGAAATAATTGATTACTCCAAAGCAACAATTCGCAATAAGCTGTCACAATTTTACAAATAAAAATCTTTGTCAATTGTCTTACTTTCACACCGAATTCTTTGTGACTTGCTCGAATTCACAAACTTTTTCGCATAACAGTCGCAAAATATCGCATATTTCGCGGAAAAAAAATCGAGATCCGATCCCTTAGACCAAATTTAACTTACCAGCCATGGCAGTGCAATACCACGCAAGAATGTCCCATTTAACCAAACTTCCGATAACGTATGACACCAATATTGCTAGTGACATAAAAATAGAAGGCAATGATCCCAATATACCTCGAATTTTCGGATCGACACTTTCTCCAATCTACACGTAACACATGAGAAATTGTTGGATTTAAAAAAAAGTATAATAACTGGTTGAAAAAGCTTCTAGAATTGATATTTTAATTTAAAAAAAAGCATGCGAGGCATTTAAAAGGTGCATATTTGAAAAAAAAAATTGTGCTACTTACATAAATCTGCGCGGATGGCAAACAGAGACCAACGCAAAAACCATTGAGAAAACGTGCGACAATAACCACTTCATATCGTTGTGCGGTTGCGATTAAAATCCATCCAAGTGTGGCCAATGGTGATGCAATAATAATTGTAGATTTTCGGCCAAATTTTTGAAGCGAAAAAGCCGCTAAAATACTACCAAAAACCGCACCGCACGGCGGTATCGAACCTTCAGGGCATTTTTAAAAGATACAATATGAGTTAATATTTTTTTTTTGCCGAATTAAAAACAAATGGTTTCATTTTCCTTACTTGCCCATGATGCAATGGTTTTGGTTGGCAAAAGTTCCGGATCATTTTCTCTGATCGATGGAACAGCTGGCGCTGAATAGCCACGAACTAGACCAATGTAGAAAAATGCCATACTAATACTTACTGATAGCAGCGCCTGTAATAAGTCAAAAAACGTTTTGTTACGCTTGAATTGCAATTCAATGTTGACGCTGTCATAGTTGTCGTCTTAGCGGAAAATTAAAAGAACATTTTACATTTTTTTTATCTGAAAACAATTCTAACTCGATCTGTGTCTCAAAATAGAGGGCACATGAATGAAGCGACTATTATTGTTTGTAATGCGAACTAATTAGTTTCATACACGAATTGATAAAATATATGTGGTAATAAAAGAAGGCAACTGAGTCACGTTTCATTTCATGGTTGCAAATTCGCGTGTGCAATTATTTCAAATTTGATAATCGCCTTCAATTTACATTTATCAGTTATTGCGACGTCATTTAACCGACCTATTCAAATAAAACCGTATTTCTCTCGAGAGAATCGGATATAATCTGCATTATTATCGTCATATAAATCTATCAATTTAACATTTTGACAACGAATTTATTTTGAAATTCATTTTTTATGTCTGCCTGTTTTTATAGTTATATTATCTTTTATAAGCAGTTACATTTTGCAACTTTTTGTACATTGAACTTGATTCAACTAGAGCAAAGTGGTTTTGGATGATGAATTATTTTTGCGACGAAAACTCATTTGAAAATTAAGTAATTCCATATTTGGAACAACAATTTTTCAATTACCTGCCGCACAGTTGGTTTGTCCAAAAACGTTGTTACAGGTGGTAACATATTTGGTTTTCTCTTGTTTATCTTATTCAAATTATCTTTTTTTTTTAAACCACCGGTCAATTCTTTTACGATTTATTTCCAATATTATCTGTTGTGTGCACTCATCAATGTTATCTGATTTAATTGTAAAAACTGCACACAAATAGGTGAATTCGTTGACACTGTTCTTAATTACACACTCCAATAATTTTTGTTTCCGAACAATGTGGTTTTGAATGAATTGAAGCCACTTAATTCCAAAAAAAAAATTCGTTGATTTTTTTAACTTTTTTTCGTTGTATATTCGAGTATTGGGAGAGTCCAATGGCAACAAAACAATGGCACAGCCAAACACAATCACTACAAATTACAATGACCAATTTGAAATTCCAAAAAAACTTCGTTCTCCATTTCATATAGAACAATAAAATGCTATTTTGTATATTAATACGTAAGTAATAGTGAACTGGTTGAAGAGTTTTGCAATTATTTATTTATTGCTTGGATCAAAATCTTCGGGAAGTAAATTTCCATACTAACGTCTTGATCATCTTAACTGATTTGAACCAGAAATCCGTTATAAATTTTAAAATGTATTTGAATTAATTCCTGCAGACTATTAATACTCGAAAGCGAAAAATGGCAAAAAAATTGAGGAAGTTTTTTTTTATTTTAATTTTCTGATGTTTTTCTAGTGGGAATCGTACAAAAAATGTAAGTGATTGAATTAAAACTGTAAAGCGTTATGGTTTGGCCTGAAAAAAATGTATAATTCCGCACTGCCAACTGTTTTGCGCGTTCGCTCAGGTTTTCCGTCAACGATCGACTGAATTGAATTCTTCCCAATAGAGAGGTACACAATCACAATTCTCCAATAGATATGATCAAGCATATTAATGTACTGGACATTTGTAGTATACAACAATTTATGCATGCCGAAATGGGGAGCGCTCGCAAAACCGAATATAGCAACGATTTTAAAATGTGACAACACATTCAAACAACAACCTTTTCATATCGTTCAATACAATGTGCACACCTATTGATTGTGCATCGTTGTCTTTATCCGTTCACAATACTTTCTATACAGTAGCATCGTAGATGTGAACCGAGTCACATGACTTCCGAAACGTGCTCTGACTTCTTTTTTCTTTAAATTTGAAACCGGTTGATAGACTTTTATGCAAATAGATTCGCTAAGATCGATAGATTATTGCGAGAAAAAAAATGATGAATTAAAGAAGCATAATAGACATGTTATCTGAACATAGCATATCTTATGTCATCTCCATATAGTTATTTTTTATTCCTTTTTATCGTGTATCGTCTTCGATCGAATTCGAAATGGGCCAACACAATCACTTTCTTTTGTGTGGATTTTTGTTTCTTTTGAAAGGAAATCACAACAATGTACACATGTCCATCATTTTATCAATTGAAATAAATCACAGAATGTACAATTCTTCGTTGATTCGCAAAATACACAGTGCGGTTGTCCAAATGACCGTTGAAGTACATGTACAGAATTTCGTTCAAATTAAGCTCGTCTTAACCGGGTAACCTTCAGAGACTTGTCAATTGTCACTTTAAATCGCTTTAAAATGGTGATTTGTTGTATTTAAAGTGGCAGCCTCAGAAGAAGAACAAAAAGCAAATCATACCACAAAGAAAATGATTTAAATGAAATAGGGCGCATTATTTGCGAAAAAAAATACATTGAATGATTAGGTTTGAGTATAATTATCCAGTGGCCCATTTATGTTTTTTAAACAAATTCATCTAATTTTGTTAGTCTCACATTGATTCAAATACTCACACTGATGTGATTATTAGCTTTGAATTGTACATAATTTGTACATTTTATGTATTTTGATTTTTTTTCAACTTTCGAAAAAAATGCTTTTCGTACATATTCATGATAATCGTTCATAATCTAATTGACTACCCATCGTTTCTGAAATGAAATTATTTATTTAAATAGTAATCATATGATACAATAATCATATGACCATAAAATGCATTTCGATCGATTCATGAGTTCGAAAAGAGCATATGTTTTTAAAACAACGTTCGGTTTTCTAACATTTTCTTCGTTCGTGAAGTGTGCAGATGTATTGTATTATTAGTCATCACTATAGTGAAAATATATTGTTGTCATCAATTCAAAACTAGAGGTTATCCACCAAACTAGAAAACTAGAAAAACAGTAGTAAAAACTAGCATAAACTAGCACACAACGAAGCCAACTTCACACTAATGTGGGTACAAATTGTACGTAAAACTACCAAGAGAACCAACTTCACGCACTAGAAAAACTAGTTTGGTGGTTATCCCCTTGATTCAAAAGTCCATGTTTTTTTAGTTTTTACCCATGCTCAAGTTAATATCGCTTGTTTACCTCTACTTTTTCATAACACGTGTTCTAAAGCAAATATCTTTTCACTTTGGATGAAATATGAAGATCATGTGACTTGATACTTAAAAACATATTCACGTGAAGCCACTTGATGACGACATCGACCATAAATCCAGTATGTGATGCTGATTACAGTCAATAAGCATTGTACATATTGTTATTTTTTCGATGAAATATTTGAAAAGAAAAAACGCATTGCATACGCAGAAGAGGGCAATAAACTGTTTTATCTCAAATTTGTTAGATCAATTATACCTTTTTTCGCTGAATTAAAATCAAGTATAAATTATTTCCTTCTGCATCAAAAAAGTAGTTTCGCTTACACTTACTTATACTACCGTATTTGTAGAGCGTTTACGATCAATCCATATGAAATTCTGCAATTAATTTTTAAAATCTGCATGTGCAAATATATAAGAAGCATATTGAATCAAAATTAAAATGTTAAATTTCAAGACATTGTTCAATAACAATAACATCACCCGCACCAATAACAAAATTATTTTGTACCAAATTTTATGGCATGTTATTAAACGGCATATTTCTGATTTTCTACCGATACATCATGTGACTAAAAGCCACTTGAACTTCGAAATCACAGTTTTATGGTCCGTTTTACAACTTTTACTTTAGTATCGTTGCCATTGTTTTCAACAACACCCTTCAACCAATTCATCAATACAAAATCAAAACGAACAAACAAATAAGCTATTTACTATTTTGTACATCTCATCTTCGTTGATATAACCATATTTTGTATCGCATTAGACGAGGCAATCAAAATAAATCAGAGGAAGAAATAAGAATATTAATAATGATAATTTGGAAAGTTTTAAGTTTAATTTAGAATTTGATTTTTTGACGTAAATGTTTTATAATAATAAATTCACATACTTGCACGGTGAATTAAATGCTTGTTTTTGACGCTTATGCGTGTGCTGTTTAATTTACAATGAATGCGGTAAATTCCAACACAAAATTATAAAAATGATGAAAATATGACCGCATTGAGTCTAAATTTGACCGCACACTACTTAATAACCGCATCTTCATTCCAGACCGTATCTGGAAGTGAGCAAGTTTTGAACTTTCTGAACTTCAGACAATGCGATCAGACGCTCGGTTTTTGGCTGAATGTGTGAATGAATGCGCATATCTGTCACACGTGCGTATGCTAGAATTTCAGCAGTGATTTCAGCAGTGGTTTCAGCATGTTAAACTAAATACTATGTGCATACGCCAATTTGGAATTCATTTTTATTCACATTCATTTAATAAAGCAGCTGTCATATGTAATTGAAGTGAAAAAGAAAATATAGGTTCTCACACAGAGAGAAATATTTGAGTACGGTAACTCGCAATTGCGAGCCCTCAAAATGAGTTACGCACTCTATTTTACTCTATTTTTGGTGTTAATGGTGGATGAAATCCAAGTGAACGCATCATAGTAGAAGAAGTGTAGTCATATATACGTTAAACGCATGCGGCTATGATGCGGCATCAGGTCATAGGTTTCAGTCCCCTCTAGATAATTTTTACAAAATCTTACCCCCATGAATTTTTTTCTGGGACCCCCTAGATTTGCATGCGTTGAACAAAAGCTAATTCTAGATTTTTCTCGTTTTTTTATTTAAAAAGGTCGGCACAAGATTTGCATGTGATTGATTGAAATATTTTAACCGAAGGGTGTCATTGTGCAAATCATTCCATGTATACAATTTATATTGTTGTGAGAAAATTGTCTGCCAGAAATTCTCTCAATTTCGTTATTCAACATCATGCATTGCCGTATAATACGCCAAATACTAAATAAATAAATAGTAAAGTGCGCATTGTAAATTTGTCTGGATAAAATGCCTTTTTAGTAATATCATAAAAGTGATTGTCAAATTTGAACTTGAACTTCAAGTCGAAAACCTTATGTCACGAGTCTGTATTCAATATACAGACTGTGTAAAATTGTACATTCAGCTATTCCATTCAGAAAATTTGATTAAAACACAGATAAACAAAGATTAAACTGGATTTGCCAACGAAAAAAAAATCTGGTGTGCGACAAAACGATCCGACAATTACAATACAACATCCAATTTTTTGTTTAATTCTTGAATGAATCAATTTAGAGATGACTCTGAGAGAATAAGAGTGCTCGATTTCTATTTATATATATATTGTTGTATGCCATTTTTCGCCGCTCACTATATTTTTTGTTTTGTTCATAGGTTTAAACTCCATATTTTGTTTCTTACCTTTTTGATTCATTCAGTGCACTGAAATCCAGAAGTCTCCTTCGAAGAGATACAAGAAATAAAAATGAAAATAAGACATAGTTGGTGTTTTCTTTTTTTTCAATGCATTTGTTCATTTTGTACAATTTTTTTAGTATTGAAAATTGATGCGGACGGTTCAATTTAGTCGAATGATCATGTATCGAAGAGTGTCGAGGTTTTTCACATCCGATTAAATCAAACGGCCGACGCTCATTTTTTTAAATCATTGCAATAATGGTTTTCTGTTTTTTTTCTCGTGTCCATTTGTTTTTTTTTTCAGTATCAGTATCGATTTAAAAATGAATTTATCTATTAATCTATAATATAAGTCATAATAATAATAATAATAATAATAATAATAATAATCATAATATTAATAATAGAATATTGTTTGTGTGTGTATCTGCAGTTTCACATTTCTCCATTGATTTTCTTTTGTATTTCATTTGTTTTTAGATAGTTTTCGACGTTTATTTATCTACTTTCGATCCGAAAGTAATGTAAAATGGTTAGTCATTGTTTTTCGTATGTGTTTATTTTTCACCTTTTAGATTTAAATTTATTTCAGTATATCAAGTCCTTGCATTGCTGTTTGTCTTGCTCCGGAATTGTTACTTCATTTTTTTTTGATTTTTTTTCTTTCTTTTTTTTAAATTATCACTTGAATAAAATTCTGGCGCTTTCACAAGTTACTATTAACATAACTTCTCTTTTATTTTTTATGTTGTTGTTCACATCAAATTCAATTCGAATCGTAACAAATTTATTATTCTAATTCATTTCATTTTTTTTAATCTGTTATTTACACTATTGTGATATTATCACTTCATCAAATTTAGATTTCTTTTGGATGCTCGCCGTTCCTTGGGTGCGTTAGTTTTAGTTTCGAAATCAGAGAACGCGGAAAATATAATCACAAGGTGAGTAAATGGTACGCTTCCAATTGTTTTTTTTTGTTTCTTTTTCAATATTTGTTTCGGTTGTTTTTTTTTGGTTTTATTTTTTCATGCATACTTTTTGAAAATAAAATGAGCGCATCTTGGTTTGATCCAAATTAATAAATGGATTGAAACATATATCCTCCATATTGCGTCATTATTCAGTCATAGACTCATAGTAGGCTTACAGTTTTTGTTCATGTTGCTGCTCCGTTGGTTGTGATCCTTTTTTCTTTTATCACCGAAATGAGTACTTGTATCATTGCACTACTGTTTGAGTATAGGAGAATCGTGGCTAACAAGTGGTGTGTATTTGGAAAATATGTATGCATGTTTTGTGTGTATGTGTTCTAGTTTTTTGTGTTTGTGTGCAGTCAGGTAATCAGTCTGTCGATAAATGGGAATTCGAGCGTTATTACATTGCATCGAAGTTCCTTAGTATATATAAGTCACAGAAATAAACATTCAATTTTTTTTCTCTCTTTTTGGTGTAGCCATTGCAACGATGCGCGCCCAAAATCCAGAATGTTGATCGAGAGACGAAGACGTGTTAGCGACACGGACAGACAGTGGAACCTGGCATGCAAGCTTCCACTTGGATTCCGCTACTTATGCTGATTCTGATGATGAAATTGCTGTGCTTGATGATGTTTCTGTAGTTGCAGTTGCACCAGCATTGGATTGTTATTAACAGCACCCATTGTTGATGCCGTTGCATGCGGTACAGAGGCCACTGTGTGTAATTGGGGGAAACATGATTAATATCATGACTTAGTTTTGGTTTTCATTCAACATTTTTTTTTTCAGTTGTGTTTGTTTGTGTGTGTGTCAATGTTATGTTTTTATATGAGTTTCGGTAGTTTTTTTTAAATTTACATTGTAGGAAAGGTGTTAGAGAGAGAATAAATGGATAGATAGACCACTCAATAAATTATCATTATATAATAAATAAATAAATTCGATAGCACGTAGTCTCTTAATGATGGGAATGTATTTTTGTATTTTATTTTTTTTTGTTGTCTCTTATGTAGACAAATTTAAAAAATAATTGGTGTGTTGTATGTTACATGAATATCTTTCGAGATTGTTTTTTTTTTATTCTTCCATTTTCTTCAGCTCAATTCACATTGTTGAGAAAATTTCTGGACATTATATTTTGTTCGATTTCTATATTATATATATATACAATTTAAAATGTGTGTATGTGTGAGTGTTATAAAATGTAGTATTTTGTTTATAAATTCTCAATATATCCACATGCTATCGGTGATGACTGTTTTGTTGTTATTATTCATATGTTCTCATCGTACCCTCGAAAAAAACAATTACGATTCGGCAAAGCTCATTCAATTTGGCATATTGGCAGTATGTGTGTATGACTATTTGATTAGATTGTTCAGTAAATTCATTTAAAAATCATTTATTTTTACTTGTGATTGGGGTGGTAATTTTCATTTGGGCAGCTGTATTTGGTGCGACCGCTATATTTCGTTGTGATGTTATCAAACCACGGGCTGCTAATTGCTTCGCATTTATCGTTGACGTTGCTATCGTTGGAACACTTCTTGGTCTTTGTTGTTGGAGATGGGCATGGGTTTGTTGTTGCGGCTGTTGTTGTTGATTTACATTCACGTTACGCAATTGTTGCGGACTTAAATTTTTAACATTGGACGCAGCAACAAGTTGGGCTACAAAAATCAAAACAATTCAATGAAAATTTTAATGAAATTTAACGCATTTACGAAAAATATTCCAAAATTTGATTAGAAATGGTTTCTTACCTATTGGCAGTGATAGTACGGATCCTTGACCTTGTTGACTCGCCGTTGTCAAGACTACAGTTTGTGTGGTTTGTCCCAATGATACTGGCATTGATTCTATTAAATTAATTAACAATTATATTTATTAGTTTCCATGTTGGTCTCATCGATACATTCTTATGACCAATTTTATGAAAAAAAATGTCAACAAACATTTAAAAATTCTTAGTTTCCATTTCGGTCAAATCGTAACTATTTCCGAAATCACAAAAACGTGCCCAAAGCAGAATTAGTTGAAAATCGATATTTACGGTCAATTTTGTGTCACCGCATTTGAAAAATTGTTGAGAGTCAATTCAATAAAAAAAAACTATCAACTTTAATCATTGGCAATAAAGATATGTTGTTCTATCAGAAAGAGTTGTTCTGATAATATGTATTCGTCGTCTCTCCATTTTCACGAAAAATACACCATCGGTGCTCTCGTCAAAATCAACGATAGATTTCGATAAATTTCAATGAATCTTGTTATATAAAATAAAGTAATTACCAAGCTGCAGGCCTGTTTGGTGTGGACTAGCCGTAGCTACGGTATTGGCCGTTGCTCCAGTTAATGACAATGAAATCGGTTGAGCAAGTCCAGGAATTTGAACCTAAAAATATTTTGTAAAATAAAAAATCATTATTGGATCAAAGAAAATGTAAATTTCCAAATTTAAAAATCGAAATGTTTGCACACGCGTGTGTTTCAATAAATTGTACCTGTACGTTTTGTAGACCGGGAAATGTGGCCATAGCACCTTGAAGACTGCTAAAATTGATACCATGTAGATTGAGTGTAGTGGTTTGAGCGACTTGCGGTTGATTGCTTTGATTTTGGTTTGTTGCGTCATTGGAAGTGGCATTAACGATGCTTTGTTTTCGTATTTGAAATGCGGACGTTGAATTAGCAGTCGATGATGATTCGGCCTGTTGTTGTTGATGTGTAGGACTTGATAATGGTGACGCGGTTACATTGGCGTTATTTTTTGGTGATGGTGTCATAAACGATGATCCAGATGAGATTGGAGATGGGCCGCACCTAATTTGATTGTTGTGAATGGGTTTTTTTTGTATTGAGGGGTTGGTTTTTTTTTTGCCATATTAGTTTTGCTTTCTTCTAAACCGCATACATATAATTTTGTTTTGTTTTTTATATATTGAGCGTACATAGTTTTTTCGAAATAGAACACGGAACTTACATTGAGACTTCAAGGAAAGTTTTATCAGCGCTTGAAACACGTTCGATCGATCCGGAACTGCATTCATTGCTGATGATTGATGTCGTTGGCGATGCCGAACCGATGAATGGAAAACCGGGTGTTATTGAAAAATTACCTAAATTGGATGATGACGCACTCGATGCATTCGAATCACTACCCGGTGATGGTGCTGCCAACGAATCACGACGAATTTTATTATTGTTGTTCATCAGAATTTGTTGTTGCTGCTGTTGTTGTTGCGGCGACTGTGTGGTGACTTGTTGCGATTTTATTTGAGCAAAATTAAAATTCGATGGATTTATGGGCGAACTGGACATTAGAGCTGGAGGCGAAGCCAATTGACTAGCTAGTGCTGACATTGTTACACGAACATTCGGCTGTGGTTGCTGTTGATCCTGTTGATTCAATAGTACTGTTTGTGTTTGCGCCTGTTTACAAGGAAAAATACAGTAAACGCACATTTTCATCTTTAGACTAAATTTTTTTTTTATCACTTGAGCTATTCTTTCTTCGTTTCTCTAGCATTTAAAAAAACAACAAAACTTGGCTACTTCATGTAATAAATAAAATAGATATTTTCATTTTATCGCCTGTTTTGAAAAGAAACGCAAATTAGTTTGTTTTTAAGAAATAAAAATTCGATAATGATGTAACATGATAAAAACAATTCGAATCGCACAATTTTGAAATGTACTTGATTTGATTTGCGTACCTGCGGCGATTGTTGTAAATTATCCGTATTATTTGCTGGGTGTGTGGCGATCAACCGCTGAATTGGAATGGTTACCGGTGAATTCGATGGTGTATTCAAACTATTTACAACGGCCGAACTTGTCATCGCAGCCGGTGCACTATTTAATAGACTTATTATAGCTGCATTATTTGATTTGTGAGTTTGTGTTGTTCCTATAATCAAATAAATATGTTTTATTATTTAAATTTGTTTGGTTTCCATAAATAATCCGGAATTTACCTGCTTGATTTTGTAATGAATGTGTCGGTGATTGAATTATACCAGTCATCAATGTGTTTATTTCATTTGAACCAGCAGAAACGGTAGTTTGTGGAACCGTTTTATTTGATATCTGTGCCTGAATAAATGACAAATTGACATACATTATATATTTTTTTTGATTCAGTGCGATCATGTACTTTGTTAATCGCTAGACCTTTTAACTTTTGCACAGTTTTCTTTGGCAAAAAGAAAATGAAGGCGTTGCAATTGCATTTAACTACTTACCAACAGTGGTAAACTATTTGTTACAATGCCTTGCTGTGAAGTGGAGCTGGTTTGATTTTGCGCCTGTTGTGATGTAATTGTTGCAACACCTACTGTGAAATATGGAACAGTATGACATCAGTAATAAATAAATCAATGGTTCTGTTTAATTGCGCCATTTTTGTTTGGTTGTTAATTTAAAAGAAAAAAAAATAACTATAATTTCCAAATCAATGCTTACGAGAAATATTTCCGCTGGATTGTTCTTGCACCACAACAACGGAGCCATTTGCAATTTTCAAATGTGTTGGCTGTGTTTGCGATGATCCTGGCAATGATGGTACATCGGCAATGGGAAAACCATGTGTCGATGATGGTGATTTGAGTGTGATAGCCACCTATTCAAAACATAAGAGAAGATTTATTGCTGACTGTCGATTGCATGTTGAAATATTTGATCGAACCTTTTGTTGGTTATTAATTTGTGATGCCTGGATCTGTGGTTGATTTTGTGTGGTGCTCGTTCCACTTTGCTGTTGTTGTTGTTGCTGTTGTTGCTGTTGCTGTTGCTGTTGTTGCTGTGATTGTTGGTGGATGTATGTTGGAGGTAGACTCTCAGTCATTCCTGATGTGTACGAAACCTTTGGTTTTTGTCCAGGAACAATGTGAGTAATTTTGACTGATTTGCGTCCTTCTTCCGTGAAAATTTCAATGAATTGTTGGATGTATCGTTTTGCATGTGCAAGTGTGCCCAATGGAAAATGGCACGCTTCGCCATTTCGTGTGTTCACCTGATAATCACGATCCACATACAATTCGCCCAAATATTCCGAATTGGTTGGTCGTTGATAAACCGTTAATTTAATATGATAGGTTCGGCCATTGCCACGGTCCGTTTCCAAAATATATTCCTCCTTAAGTTGAGGCGTACACTCTTTGTCTTTCATATTATCTACGGGTCTTGGATAGATTCTTGCCATTTCTTCGACATTCACCGTCGATGGTGGTTTAAGTGTGAGCGGTAAATCGAGACTTGGTGTGCGTATTGGTTTCATAACATCTGAAGCTTTTCGTGGTATTTTATTGTAACCAATTGAATTGTCAAGCATTGAATTTGATAAGAGATGCCGTGGTGGTCGTTGACGTGTCCGGAATAAATAATCACTTAAATCCAAACCGTGTGTATGTGTAAATTGATCCGTTTTTCGTTTGCGATTGATGGCCACCTGAGTGAATTTACGCATTTGACGTCGTATCGCAAATGTGTTCCACATTTGACGTTTGTGTTGACTATAAAATGCTTTTCGTGCAACTTTTGGACTTGGATCTAAGCATAATGGTGCGGCTGTTGCAAGCACCATATTACTTTCCAACGCAACACGATCTTCATATGTAAAATCCTCTTCATTTGAAAGCACTTTGACATCAGCCAGTAGCGTTTGTGTGGTGGGTTTTAATAGAACATAATAATTATCACAGCATGAAGATATTGGAAACGATTGACGATAATCACGCACTTCAACAATTACACAGCCGGAATAGAATGCATTTGGTGCATATGATAGCAATAATTTCATATACAGAATTGGCAATTCTTCATTGTTCACCGATTCCAAGAGATCGCCATTCTCGTATGGCCAACGAACCGTTTCCAATAAATGTTCTTCTTTTTCTTGTCGAACACAATTCATACTATTCAATTCGGTAGCACCATATAATTGACTCTTCTAAAAAAGTGTGTGCGAAAAAGAGACAGAAAGATAGAGGTGAATTTTGAATGCTTTTCAATGTCAAGTCCAACGAATATTTACTTACATTTCGATTGTATATATTATGTAGTCCTTCGTACTTTTTATTTTGTGGCAGATATTCTTGCCGAAATGCTAATGAATATCCTTTGTTACCGGGATACAAATTTAAAATGACAGTGTTTAGATTTTCTCTCGCTACCAACGTTTCCAAGACGAATGATCGACTTTTTAGTTTTATCTACAAAGGAACAAATAAGATATTGGATTAAAGAGATTCAAATTAGAAATTTAACATTAATAAATAAATCAATATAAATTCGTGTTAAACAAGGCACATTCATTTATCATCCTGTTTACAACAAAGCTAATGTCATTTTGCAATTTATATGGAATGAAAAGTTCTTATTTTCTCTTTTGTTTCGATGCAAATAAAATCATAAAAAAGAAACAAGAACTAATCAATTGGATTATTTATTGTGAATGAAATCAAAACCAAAGTCTATAAATAGATTGCTCAAATCTGGTTTTATTCAAATTCACGCATTCAAATTACGAACTGATGTCAAATGATACTCACCCTATTGTCTACCTGCGTATCCTGAATATCTTTTAGATATAAATATACATACAATTCCCTAAGTTTTTCGTGTATATCAAAAAATGTTGCATCCGATGTGCTTCCGGACATCGATGTATTCGACGGAGACTGATGTGTGCAGAAAAAAATGAAACAAACAAACCAAAATATACGATATATGATGTTGACGAGCAAAGAAAATTCTTCGGGTTTAAATTTTAAAAAATGGACACATGCGTACCTGTTTTTCTGATGTAATTGTTGCATTTGCAGCACCATCACTACCGCTCCCTCCTCCATCATGTGTTGAAGACGATGCTGTCGATGGCGATGATTGTTTGTTTGAAGTCGGCAGTCGATCCGTACTGTGTGCAACAAGAGAAAAACACAAAAACATTCAATCATTAATTATTATATAAATGGCAATGAACACGACAATACCTATTGTTATTATTATTATTGGTTCGGCTGTGCGATGTTACTGTAGCCGCTGTTGTAGAATGTGTCGTCATCGTTGAATTCGATTCGTTTGATGAAGAATTTTGTACATTTTGCACATTTTGAATACTATTAGACGTCTGATGACGATTTTGGTGTTGTGTATTTGATGGTAATCTGGAATGATATACAAATGATTTTCACAATCACACGAATTTAATTCAATTATACAACAAGAACACCAACATTGATATTTTTGATTGGCACTTACCGTGTGGTTAATGTCGTCGTCGTTTCAGTTACAGTGGCTGTATGATGTCCCTTTATTTTGTTAAGTGCATCGTTTAACTTAAACTATTATCGAAAATCAAAAAAAAAAAAAAAAAAAATAAATTTTTTATTAAAAAATCAATTAGTCGCTTCAAAATGGGATTTTGCCTACATCTGATTCCTGACATGACAATTCCAAACTTTGCATCGTGATAAAACAGAAAAGAACAACACCAATTGTGTTATTGTGGTCGTCATTCAAATTCAAAATCCTAGCTCACTTTGGCCAGGACCTGAATTTACCTGCAATAGAAAAAAAACTTTTTATTTAGTTTTGAAGAAGCCAGAAAAAAAAACGTATACGTGATAAGAATTGGAACATTTGCCGAATATGTGATATTCAATGACCTAGAAATGTTGTATAAAACAATTTATCAATTCATAATCGAAATTGATTGGACGGAAGAAAAATTGCATTCGAGAAATGATTCAAAATTAGATCTAAGGTACTTCATTCAAAATATTCGCTTAATTTGTTGTCGTTTCAAAACTTTTTTCTTTAACTTAATGATAAGACATAAACTTTATTGCTTCAATTCTGATTGTATACAATTCATCACATCCACCTCAAGTTTTAAGTATCATTTGCGTGCTATCAATAAAATTCCAGGATTGATAAATTTCGTGTCATTTTGCATTATTTCTGGTTTGAAAGTGCTATTTTCTTCGATTTAAAATACAAGGGCTTGATATTTTTAACTCAATTCCGAGAACAATCCAAAAATACTTTACTAATCAAATTTCACAGAACCATACACAACAAAAAATGGTATTATTTACACATTTAAATTATGTGTGTTCTTTTTTCGATATAGACGATAACACAAAAAAAAACTAATCCACCGAGACGGTCTGTCTCATCGTGTTCTGCATGCATATATCCATCAAGTGAAAAAAAAAATTGGTTAGAAATGACTCTGACAATTGTGTGATGGTGTTACACCTTTTGGTTTTTCATTGCTTGACACACAAATTAATCAAACAGAAAAAAATCCATCGGTTTTCGCTTAATGTAAATGGCTTTATTTATTTCAATTAAAGCCACATTTCTTGGTCGCTTCGATCAAAGAGCCACGGAAAAAATGTATCAGATTCTTTAGCACGCACCTCTACAAAATCACCACATAATTTCCTTGTGTCTGCTTGGTGGAGTGCTGTTCTATTTTGACGAGAAATTCGTCGATTTGTTTGCTTTGCTCCCTTGATCTTAATATACACAACGAATGTGCATTGAATTTTTTTTTGATAATTTTACTCGTTTTTCTTTTTAATTAGAGTATGGAGTGTGTGTTTTTTTACCGAAATATTACTAAAAAAAAGTTTTTCGCTCGCGCGTACTACAAACACACGTATTTGGATTATATTTTTGTATCTATATTGTACATGTGTGTGTATGTGTGTGTGTGCGTGTTGAAACTTATTGTCAATACTCATGAAACATGTACGCACACACACAATCATATACACTCTCACTCATACATCCACACATACGTAATTCGTACACACGCAAAATACATGCACTGTTAGCTCACTGTGGCAGCGTGTTGTTGTTGATTTTTGATTACAGTTTTCTCTTCTAAAATGATTTTTTGCTTCTTTGTCAAAAAAATAATAATAATAAAAACTCATATTAGTCTTAACACAAAATTTCGCTCGTTTATTGCATGAAACTGAAATATTAACTCTAATTTCTGAATGGGATGGATATCATGGGTTTTTGTTGAATTGGCGGCGTTTTCATTTGTTATTGAAAGCATAAATTCCATCGAAAGAATCATTAAAAATGTATGATTTTGTTTCAATAATTGCCCAACAGAAAACTATAAACGTTGCAAATATTCACCGAGCATTTTAACAATAAAAAAATTGTTTAAAAACAATTGTCAAAAGAAAAAAAAATAACTTTGGCTTAGAAATTATGAATGTGATAATATGCACCTCAAAACAAATGTCATAGGGAAGGCCATGTACACAAATATATGTTCGCTGTTTTCGCACCAATACGCATACACCGTATCTTCACTATTATTTTTCTTTTCTTGATTTTGTTGCTGCTGCACAATTTCACTGTTGTTATTTATTATTTTATTTATTTATTTTTTTCGCAAACTTTCTGATTATTCTATCTCGTTCGCGCAATGTGGCGCTTTCCTAGCACTTCAATGTATTTCTTTTTAGATGCTTTTCTTTCTCTTTTCTCTGTAGTCTTTCGCTCTTATACAGTCTGTCTTACGTGTGCGTATGTATGTGTGCGTGTGTGTGAGTGTATTTCTGAAAACATGCACTGTATTAGTGTATATGGAATTGTGCTCAGTTTTATGTGTCGTCGTTTTAGATTCAAATAGTTGCACGTACTACGTGAAAAATGATCAAAAACGGCAGAGAAAGAGCGAGCGAAAGACACGACAACGGCGATGTCCAACGGCGATGAGTAATTCTTTACTGTATGAAAGAGATCAGAGCTACCAAATGAAAAAAAGAAGATTTCATCTGCACATCAAATTTCTATATCTTACACACTCTTTTCCGATGATATGTATATTCTTTTCATAAAATGATATTTGAATTGCGAGCAGTAACAACAATGCGCCTTCTTAAAACAAAACAATTTATGTTGAACGAACGCTTTTGAGGTTTGATCGTCGATTTATTTGCACTCGCTTTGATCGTGTGTACACACAAACACTACATACATCTTCTTTTTTTCTTTCTTTCTCAATTTCCTTCTTTCTATCTCGCTTTCTTCTGATAAACATCAACACCACTACTTTTTCATGGGGTTAAAATTTTCATTTTATTTTTTTTTCTTCTTCTCTTCTTATTCGTATTAAATGTACGCACTTTACATATGTATAACCAACAAAATTAAAATTTATGCAATTTTTTTTCTGTTTTATTTTACACTGTTCTGCACATTTAAACAAAAAAAAAAGATGTTTGAACTTACATTCAAAATGAACACATGAGAATCATAAAAATGTTCTCCTTAAATGAAATTGTTTTGATTAATTAAAAAATCGGTCATTGCTTAACATTTGAAAATGCGTATCAATGTCTTTTCAATGGTTGTTTTGCACAATGTTATTTTGTATTGTTGAATTGATATCGCTGAATTTGGTCACGGATTTTTTCGCACAATTCGTTTGATTCGTTTCAAATCGGATTTGTATAACTTGTGGTTGGCAGCGGCGTCGATGAAAACGTTTATGCGAACAATTAGCTTATTGACACTTTAAATCAAAATTCTCACTTTGATATCTTGTTTGATTGGATCCGGTCAAAATATAAATTGTTCTTCGTTTATTATTCTTCTGATTTTGTTTATTTTTGTTCTCATTACGTTTTTTTAGAATTCGTTCGATTTCTTTTATATTTTGAATTGATTTCTCAAATTCTATCGATATATTGTTGTTGTTCTTGTGCCTCTTTTAAAAAATATTAGTTCTTATTTCTTTTTTTTTTGTATTATTTACTGTCGTCTCTATGAAATCGTACCAGTCTAAAAAAACACACACTAGTGACACCGCATGCAAATTGAAACGAGCGAGCGAATTGGGGCGAAAATTCATGTCACTCATACACACATGTATTGCGTGAAATAAAACTGATCCAATTGTTGTGCAATGTGTGTTTTCAATAGAACTCAACGAATTTTATGACATATCGATAATGCAGCAAACTATCGTGAATCAACAACATTGATTATAAACAATGTATCCAAAACTGGAATGAACAAATTGATCAACTTTATTTCTACATAATTTTGGTATGCACAACTTTTCGCATTCAAAATGAATAAAAAATGCCTTAATTTTCTGCTTTACAATGATGTATATGAATTTCATAGGTAATTTAAGTCAACAGTTTTCTTTAAAAAGAATAATAATTTTATTCAAAAATAATCTGTGTATTGGCGTTTGTGTATAACTCAATGGCAACTGGAAAAATTTGACACAAGCGAAATTTTAATCATGATAGGTATGTGCATAAATTTATCTGTATTATCGATACATTTATATATGTTGAGGTTGTCCATGAACGAAAAAAAAAACAACACATAGAAATACATATGTATCCAATTGCATTTGAACTGGTCCGATTCCATATTAGATTCATTTGGGAAAAAAATTGACATTTCGTCGTGAGTGCATGAAAACAAATGTTCAAGTGATTGTGGAAAAAATAAAAAGAAGAACTACACTAATACTTACATTCGTCACATATACACAGCGAATGTATGCACATTTACACGAAATTCTTCTTGGTTTCATCAAATGTGATGGAAAAGGAGAGGTAACACCATACATTAACAGACCAGACCACCATCATACATCAAAATTGTAGTTTTATTTTCATAGTTCGAAAACAAAAATTGCAAGACAACCAAGTTAGAGAAAAAAAAACGGGGCACACAACAGTTCAACCATCATCATCGTCGTCGTCAGCATTGTCATCAACAATAACATTGTTTGAACGGATTTCTAGGATTCGTCAAGTGCAGATAAAATTGCAACGACTTTGTGCAAAGAAGGAATACAAATCATAAAATAATAATACAATAACAACAACAAGATCAAAAATACACGATTGAAAACACCACAATCCCAATCATTTTCTCGTCTCGGTGATGTGTTTATTTTAAGCACGGTCAAAATATTGATTTGAAGTTCGACAACGGTGATTAAAAATTTACAACCAAATTGTGCATTTTCCTGTAATTCGATTGCAATTTTTGCCATTGAATTTTGGTATATACAGCTGATTTCTACATATTTTTTGGTTCACTTTTTTTTTTCTAATGTGTGTATGTGTGTGTTTGTTCCAGATTAGAGAGAAAAATTATTTTTGTTGTTGTTATTATTATTATTGTTGCGTTGCTAGTTCTTCATCAATAGTTGATGTGTGTACTTGAATTGATGGTGTTGCATTTACAACGAGAATACGCATGTTGTTTATGTCGTGTCAATAAACGCTGAGCAAAAAAAAACAACATCAAGAAGAAAACAGAAACAAAAGGAACATAAACCAGTTCAGTTGAATGGTTTTTTTCCCGTTTTTTTCTTTTTATTTTATAAAATTTCTACCGGATAAAGTGTTGTTAGTGCGTTGATTTGTCTTGTAAATACATTGTAAAGTGAGAGCAAAAAAAATGTCATCGTCACAACTTGAATCGGTTATCGTGAATGCCAAGCGGTTGGCACAACGATTGAAAAGTCGTGAAGCAGACGCGGACCGCATTTTAGCTGAAGCTGAAGAGGTCAACAATCGATTGGAAACCATGCGACAGGTTAGTGTGTAAATTTTAAGTATATATCATATTTGGTTTACTAAACGGTCATCATTTTGTGTTTCAGTTTAAAGACGATTTGGATCTAATGAATAGCATAGCCCGTGATAAATCCAATGCTCACATGATTCATCAAATTAACCAGGAAAATCCACAGTTGCGGGAAATGCACACAGAAAATATGCGATTGCGAGTCTCACTCGAAGATCATCAGCGCGCCTTGGAACACATTATGTCAAAGTATCGTGAGCATACACAAATAGCCTTGAATAATTCCAAACTAAATTTTCAAGAATTGTTCAAAGGCGAAACGGAAAAGAGTCTGGTTAGTATATCATGTATCAACATTGATTGCACAATAGCTCTCGATATCGATATGATTTTTGATTGTTTTGTTTTTTTGTTTCGTTAAAATGGTTTTTCTATTTACAGATAATTCAACGTCAAGAAGAGAAAATCCAAGAGATGATTGCAATTATGCAAAAAGCAGCATCGCTTGATGACAGTGATTTTGAACAAAATTTAAAGAAAGATCGCGAAAACATCAGTCGATTGATTGTAGAAAATCAAGGTTTACGCGAACTGTTGCAAATCTCACAAAAATATGGCAATACGGGATCGCAAAGCAATAACAATGCCAATGCCAATGCAAATGAAACAAATAAAATTAGCGTTGAAACGCAAACCGATTCGAATGCAAATCAATGTTAAAATACAAAATGAATCTCTTTTCATCTCGAATCGCAGCTAATGCTTAGAAAAATGAATCCAAAAAAACAAGAACCTACAAGATAAATGCATTTTGATTAAGATGGTCCGCAACACATACACTCACACATATTCATCTGTCAGCGGCCAATTAGCGGAGAACATTTCATCAATAATGACATCAAGAACAAAATCTGCAACACCTTCCTTGCATCTGTATTATATTTAACAAAAATTAATATTTCAATAAATCACTAAAAAAAAAACAGTTTACTATTACTGAAAAGATAAAAAAAACGAAAAAAAAAATTACGAAAGGCAAAGTTAAGTGTTAAGGGTGTATATTGAGACTCCCCGAATTTATATTTTATGTCAGAACAAAAAATGCAGAGAACAATTCATGAGAAGTTATTTGTAATAATTGACAAAATATAGGTTCAAGCCTCACAAATTTATGCAACAAATCTAGAATTACATGAGTACATGATTTATGACATTTGATTGTGTGTTTTAAGGAAACATAAACAACAAAAATAACAATTAATAAAGAAAAACGAACGATTTCATGAATGATGTGTGCGACTTCGGTCGATGAATATATTTCAAAATGATGTGTTTTTTTTTCTTCTTTTCAATCGAAGTTGGGGTATTTATACTATAACTCGCAAAATTCAAATCAAAGCTATTTAATGGATCGGTCGTCCTGATATGAATCGAAATATGTTATCTTTAATTCAATGAATTTTAAATGTTTATTTTTTTTATTTTGACATTTTATTAGGCAAATCCACATTTTTTCTATTAATTTCCAAACAATTATTCAAGACAATTTATTACTCAATCGTATTTTTTTATTTGCACTCATCATTTGTTTGTTTTCAGTTGAACAAAACAAAAATTAAATTAAATACATTAGTTCTATCAATGTTACAATTTAAATTGATTACATTTAACTATAGTTGAAATCGACTGAGATGTGATTGAATAGAATGTGTTGGTATCATTATGTCATCTCCTATCTCTTATTCAGCTCGACAATTCTGGTATGTAATATATTGAGAAAAAAATGTGAAGGTTTGTGTTTTTTTTTTCGAACAAAACTTAATTAAAATGAAAGTTTAACAACTTTTTTTTAAAAATCAGTCGATCGATTTATAATGGGGCCGATTGGTAGGTGTCGGGAAATTTAAATGCATGTGATCCAGATCCGAAAATGCTTGGCAATAGACCGGCATTTGGTACAATATTCCATGACAATGTAAGCGTCACATTTTTGTTTCCCCTAAAAAAAGAAAATTTATTCGAATAAATGAAAGAAAAATGTGTCAAATTGTAATGGGCCAATGGTGGCGTGAACAATACATACTTCAAACCATTGCCATCATCCCAGAAGTAGTATTTTGTGTTTAAATTTTTATAATCGAGTAACGCATTTTCGCCACGTAACAAGATTTTATCCCATAACACCACTTGATTGAGTTCATTTTCTTTTGTTTTGTATTCAGCGGTTAGATATAAAAATAATTCTTTCACATTCCAATTGAATAGGGTGGTGAGATCAGCTTTCAGATCAAATGTTAGAAAGCCCAAATCTTTTTTCTCGCGCGACGCACTGTAATCAGGTACATTTTTCCTATTGATTCAAGATAGACATAGAGAACAAAAAAAAGTTAAGAAGAACATTAATTATTCACTTGTGGAAATTCATTTCGGTTTTTTTTTTCGTCGGTTCATGTTAAACTTACACCAGTACTTTGACTGTGTTGATATCTACTGTTGTATTGTAGTCGAGAAATACGGTGGATAAGAAGCAACAGAATGTTAAGCAGGCCAATACGCTTAGCGAATATGCAAATATTGCATTTCCTCGGGATAACACTGTATGCATGATGATTCGAATTTCGGTTTCACCTTAAATGCTATGTTTGTTGACGTGTTTCCTTGAATTGCGGACGATACAAATGGTTCCAGTTAAAAAATAATAAATAATATAATTACATTCACTAGATATATGATTGAAAAAGAAGAAAAAAAAAACTGAGCTGATTTGAATTGGACACATTGTGATCAGATCAAAATAACAGGAAAATCCATTTCATTTTGAAATACTCACAACTATTTTGTTCGTTTTGAACAGTTGATTTTTTAGTGAAAAATTACGTTTTTCTTCTTCTTTTTTTGTGTGTCACAGTGACAAAGTCACCTCAAAATTCGCCACTGATAATGGCACCAATCGAATTACTATCAATTAATTTACCTATTTTATTTTATTTATTTTTTCTTATTTTGGTCAAAATTTTGTATGGTGAAAACCAATGCTGTTGGTATTTTCAGTGTTTTTGTATTGGATACTTTGTGCCGTTGCGTGTATTCAAGCACTTGCCGACACGTCAATGATTTGCCCATACACTATCTACAATATAAAACATCATCACAGCAATGAACACGGTCTGTTGACGTTTTTCGCGCAACGTTGTAGCTTACATTTGACGATGTCTCTTTCTATCTTATTTTGTTGAATTCACTTTGACAGTTCATTTCGCCATAAAAAAAACATGCTTTACATTCAGCTCAGTTTAAATAAAAATGTTTTTTTTTAATAAATTGATAATTTATGAAATTTATTGTTAGAAAAAATAAAAAAAGAAATTATTGAAATTACTTTTCCGTATGAATTGATTAAAAATGTTTTTTTCTGCTTTACTAACAAATTAATGTTAATATCACTGCTGCCATCTGTTGTTGTACTTTATCTCCGGTCTCGTCCGAAGCTTCATAAAGTCGCTTTGAAGCGGTAAAAGTATTCTCTCCAACAATAGACTAACTAAATATATATAGAAAATGTCCATTTGATTTCAACAATTTTCAGCTAATGAATTGGCTTAGTAAAATGTTTTATGTGGCCCAATTTCCGTTCATGTTGTTTGCAATTATATAATTTGCATTGGGTCATTAATCGATTGAAAATTCCGTCATCTAAATGCGGAAACCGTTTGTTATGGTAATGTGAAAATGTATGGTATGAGCAATGACGGTTGAACAAATTCAGGCTTGTAGGCTCGTTGTCAATGGAACCGTTAATTATTTCTAGAAGAGCATTTATTTTCCAACAGCCAAAATAATTCGGCAAAAATTATAATTATGATCATTGCGAATATCATTTCTCATTCATTGCAAACCAATAAATGTATACATATCGATCAGAACTGATATTGATACACATAGTCGCATTTATGCACAATAATAATAATAATATTGCGCAACGCATATAGCGTGGGCTACAAAAATGAAGCTGTTGCTTGAACCGAGAAATCGGCTATAGAATTTCAATTGAACATATTAAGCGATTAAAATGAATGTATGTGTATGTATGTATGTATTTGAATCATCGTATATTGTTTATTGTGTGTGCAATATGATGCTTGCGCAATTTCATAATTGAGCAATAATTTTTATTTAATATTTATTCGATGTGGAATTAACACCGATTTAAACTATATTGAACACCGCATTGAAAGTGGACGTTACAGTCGTTTTGGGTATAATCTGAATGGCGCCAATGTTTTATGTCATCGTATGTTATATATGTTATGCATTTATCAAAGCCTAAAACAATCGGATCGATTAGAAGGTCTTCACTGAATTTGGACAATTCTCAAGCAACTGGACATGGATTATGGTAATTAATGCAGTTTCGTTGAATGCAATAACACTTCAATATTGGTGATTTTCTTAAGAAATATATATATATAGAATTGTCCGAAATTCATTGCATAATACTTGAAATTGACCAACAGGAACTGTATTTTTTTCAAGTCTTCATCGCAAAGTTGTCACAGGTCCATAATTGAACCAATGTGAAAATGTAATAACAAAGCCAATAAATGTAACGTTCAAATTGATTGAATTGTACATTTTACATGTAAAACTTATCTGCATTCAGTTCATAAACGGATCATAATCGATCAAGCTATGAATTGAACTTAAATTGATATTTTAATCCATAATCATTGTAAAACGGATGTTTATTTTCTCTTTTATATTCTCGTAGACATGAACACCCATTAGTTTTGAATCATTCGATTGGAAATTTATACAAACGAATTTATGAACGAAATTCCATTTGAAAATCAATTGATTTTAATTCAGTGGTGTATGCGATGTCAGATTTCCCGACGGGTGTGATCTCAAAAATGACGAACAAAAAGAACTAATTTTCCACTTGAAATGTTGAAATATTCATTTTTATCTAGCGTTAATTGGTTCGTTCCGGATGCCATGAGAGTTCAAGCCTTTTCACTGCCTACCTTTGAACAAAATTGGTTTTAATCATATCGATTCAATAAATGATTGCCCGAGAATGAAAGCTGACAGTCAGCACTTTTTGTATGGCGGTCTTACATTTCAATAAGTTGTGAATAGCAGTCTCGCTTCCATTCTCGAACATTCAAATATGCATTAATTCGAGTGTCGGTGTTTGAAATGGGGCAAATAAATAAGTATCTGATTCAGTTGCAAAAACATAGAGAAAATTGTAAATAATTCTAAATCGATCAAAAAGCACATTATTTCCTATTTAAAGTTGTCTTTTTCTTCTTCACATTGATTATATTCTAATTAATATATTGATCAATAAACTTTGACCATTATCCAAATGAAATTTTGACAATAATTAAGCAGTAATTGCACGAAAATTCATTTTGTTTGTCATATTAGTACAAATCCAAATGGTTTAGAAAATGATTTGAGTTCAATTCAATATATGAAATAAAATATACCCAATCATTGTGGTATGCGCAATTATTGAAAATTTTAAATGGAAATTCAACAATCAATGGTGCATTACTCATACCAAAGAAGTAAATTTCATTAACCGATGCTGCGAAACCAACGATATTGAATATTAAATTTGCTTACGTTTGTTAAGTAGCTTTATGCAATCGATTCTTTGTTCATTCGATGATTCAAACAATTCGAGTTTTGCTTTCGTTCGTACCAGAGATTTTTCCAATGGAATATCAGGTATCAATAAATCAATTTCGAATAAATATTATTCACACATTGCCATATGCGGTGCCGAAAGCTTAAATATAAATGGATATCCAATAATTGAAATGTGAAGCAACCCCCATTCGACGCTGTGTTCATTACTTTGTGACGAAAAAATTGTAAATATTGGAACATGTCTAATCGAAACGGATTCTCGTCTTCTCTTTTTCGCTCGCATCGTTGTATATGTGATAGAAAATATCACGACCAATGATATATAGTGATTTTTATCTATATAAATATTTATCGAAATATTTTTATTACAAAATAATGACAATGCCACAAACGCAAGCCACCAGTGTAGCATTGATGTAAAATGAAATGCATGCTGTTCGGTGGTGTGGTTGCAGATCTCCCTTTTTCTCATTTCACTTGGTAAATGGTTTTGTCGACAAATATTTCATCATTGGTAGCAAAAATACAAAAGAAATTCAGTACATTTTATATATTAATTTGTTTATTGGGTTTGCAGGCAGAGCTGTGCATTGTCTGTTGTTGCTGTCAACGTGCTAATTAGTTGTCTGGTGTGGTGAGCCATCTATTTTTTTTATCACTTATATTTCCAGCAATCATTTTTCATATTTTCACTTGGTTGTATTTAATTTCATGTTCGTTTGTATCAATTATTTAAATGAGCGTCACAGAAGTTTTTCTCCTTCTATCCTCTCTGCCAACTACAACATCAACGACAATAAAAATGATAATACAATTTTAATTAAATAAACAACAGAACGACAAATTTGAAACCTCTTCGACTGACTTCAGGGTGTTTTTATATAGTAAAGAATGTTTATTCAAAGTCAGAAGACCTTAATTTATATAAAAGAAGAAAAAAAAATAATTTTGTCTGGATTTTGCTTGGATGCCATGAATGATGAAAAGAATTCTCTGCTACTCTCCGTGCACTTTTTTTCTCGTAAAATCAATTACATGAATTGAATCGGATTTTCGTTACAATGATGTTTTCTCACCAAAAATGCAACCAAAATAGAAACTTTTACCGATTCGCTTTACTGAAACGTTATTATATTTTTAATATCTTTTTAACAAGATAAACGAAACTGCATCGATCGATTTACTTTTATCAGCATTTGCTCTTCTATTCGCCAATAAAGTGTCTTCTCTTTCACTCATTCAATTGTTCTCTTATTCTATCACTTTGGCTTCTCGTGAATGGTAGACATAAGAAGACCGAAGAAAAAAGTCTAACGAATAAAGTGCTGCATTCAAATAATAATTTTCCATTAAAAGGGGATTTACAAAGTCTTTTCATCGAATTCTTTTGATCAATGATAGTGAATCGTTGAATCGACCAACTGCATTTCCATGCATTGCAAGGTCTTCAATCAACTAGTCTCTCTCTCTCTCTCTCTCTCTCTCTCTCTCTGTGTGGGTGTGTGTGTGTCATGCGGCCCTACAGTGCTTTCACCCTTTGTTCCTCTCTGCCGTTGCCCTGTCTATGGTTTACATTTGCTATCGTATATGAGTGAATATTATAATTTGTGATGATCCGGCGATCGAAAGACATGGTGCACTATGTGTTATATATACATCGACCGTTTTTAGATAATAAAAGTTAAACGCATCAAGCAAACTGCAAACCATATTCGGCAGTTGCCGTCACTGCTTATGCTATTGCTGCTGCTACTTTTGATGCTGCTACGGCTGCTGCATTCAATTTTGTTGTTGTTGTTCATGTTCATGGAATAGAAATATATCCATTTAGTGTGATGTTGGTGTAACTGGGATGACTGGGATGTAAGCATTGAAATGGTTTGCAGAGTGAAGATGACAAGACAAACGATGTCTATGAATAAAATTAAAATGGGAAGACGATGCTGATGATGAAAATGCTGAAAATAATTGAACGAAGTAACAAGCCAAAGTAAACATGACTGGTTTATCTATCTTCTATGGAATGCTCAAATGCATCCAAGCATTTGTTCACATTTTCCTTCTATTTCTTTCTTTCATTCATTCTCTCTCCCTCTCTCTCTCTCTCTCTCTGATTTGAATCGTGGCTCTCATTGTCTCTCGCAATGAAATATTCTCGACGGGAAATGCTCTACAATTTATTTAAATGATTTCGGCACAACGCAATATTTACAATTGAATTTCTCTTACAAATAAACAAGGCTCACAGTTCTTTCACAATCACTGTACATACACATACGTACCGACAGTACTGTTCTGGTTCGCTTTGTTTCCACACTACCAGCCATGGACATTTAAATATTTTGTACGTGCACATGAAAAGTTTTAAACACTTTTCTCAAGTAATAATATTCGTAACGTTCATTTACTTAATAGATGGTTGAAAACTACCATCAACAATAAAAACAACAAGAAGATGAAAAAAAAAATGACGACGATGA